GAAGTAAAGAGTTAATGAAATACACAAAATCCAAAAAGAAAAAAAAAACAAGAATTAATATAAACTACTTTACATCAAAAGAAGACTCCATATAAAATCAAGCAAACAAGCTGTTTCAAATATTCTTTACTGAGTTTTATATTTTTAATAAAACTTATCACAAATTCTTTTGTAGTGCAAATAAAAATACTTATTCATTGATACGATTAATTACTAGTTTAATCCTTTTCCTCCTACAACCGTTTTAGGAGAACCACTGATAAATAACTTTATTTATAAAGTTGCAACCTGTCTAGTAGGCTAATGATGTAATTTAATTCACTGAGTATCCATTTCTTTTTGTAGGATCGTTTAATTGCTCCCATGACTCCATGATAGTGGAAGGAGATCGTAACAACATATTAGGCGTTGGTTTTTTTTTGACTACTTTAGTGAATAGGCAAAAGCAACATCAACTTCATGTTATTGTAGTAATAGAAAAAAAAATGAAAGAAGTAAACCGATATAAATTAATGTCAAAAAGATGCATTTGTTTTTGACATATCTTGTTAACTAAATATCTTCTTTGCTTTGAGCTGTTTTGTAACCTCTTCATAGTCAATGATATGCTTTAGTATGTGTAATTCGTCGAGTTATCGTGAAACTTTAGAAACAAATCTAACTTACTAGTGGACTTCTTCATCAATTCCTATTACACAGATATTTCGAAATATGTCTATTGAGCTTAGGTATAGAACATTTCATTTCGAAAAAAATCGATTTTGTAGGCCTTATATTTCAAAGATGAAGCGATGAAGATAACGCTTCGTTTACCAGGTAATGGTTTTTTCAATTTCAGTATTGTCCCATCATATTTTTTCATGCAAATTAAATCAATTCTTTTACAATATTTGAGAAGGAAACAGTAGGCTTCAATACATACTTAGGACATACGAAAAGTATTAATTTTAATAGATGTAAGTTCACAAGAAACACTGAAGCAAGTTTTTGTTTAAGCAGGCATTTGAACTAGAACACATAATCGATTTATTTGAAGACATTGATTGAAAGTATCTTTGATTACAAAAAACCTCATCACCTCTGTTTTAGCACTTAATCTAGCAAATGCATTAAGTACTAATATATGACAAACTCTGAATATGCTACATATTCATTAGTTCAGATTCCTCAAACGAGAAGAACTATAGTCGAACAATTTCCATTGGCTACAGTTTAGCACAGTAATTTAGTCTCAAAACAATGTTGCATGTCTTTTCTAAAACCTAATCATTTTCACTTCATGATGGTGTGTTCTTTTGCTCAGTCATATACCAGCCATTAAAATCTTATACTGAGCTTCTGTCTATAGTGTATATTTAGATCAGATTTTTATATCTTTCTGTATATGCATAATAGCTGTATAATTTCAAGTATAGCTATTTTCATATACTATTACAAATTTGATCGTCATTTGTATACTAAAACTTGTTTAACATATTTATGATATGACAAGTACACACAACACTATGTACTAATATATTCTGAGATACCCTTTTATAAGTTGCTTTCTTTCTTGTATTATGATACAAATAGTCCATGTGTTGATAGTGCCTATGGTTTCTATAGCATTACAAGATTTATACGGTGATAGCAATTAACATGTGAATATTATGACCAGACAGCACCTTGAATGTTATTGGATATGTACAGGTGATTAATAGTTGATAGAATAAATAGAAAAGTCAGCTCGATAGGAAAATAGATAAATTAATAATCAAACCTTATATTGTGGTAATAGATAATCCTGACATTATACATGATCAGATGAACGAATTTCATGTTTTGTATACGTAAAAAAGAAGATCAATATAAAGAATACGAGAGAATGGAATATGAGAATAGATTGTAACATGATAAGGTCTATTATACTCTATAGACATATAATTAGCTTTATTAATTGGTCTTATGTGTATTATATCATGTCTTTTATGTAGCATGAATTTTATCTGATGGTACATATGCTACTTTTCTTTTCTTTTGCTTCGTTCTTTACATAGGTTTGTTCTATGTTATATTCGCACATATTAATAAATACTCTATCTGATGTTGTATGTTCTAATAAAATAGCCCATTCTAATTCTATGTCATAGTATTACAATAAAGCGTGATATGAACGTATACTCAACTCGATCTCTTATTTTATCGAACTCTAGTCAAATATTTTTTAAAAACAGCGACAGATATGAGAAGAAGGAAGGTTTCTAATCATCAATTTCCTGAGACTGCTTATTATTGGAAAGAGAAAATAGAGATCATCGACTAGCGGTTAAGATATCAACGTCTAAGTATATATATCAAAAGTGTCAAAAGTTTTGAATGTAACTCCGTTCAAGAACATAATCAAACATGAATCGTTTTTTGCTTCTAAAGATATGCCATTCAATATTCTACTCGAATCACAAAATCAAATTCTTCTAACAATGTTCGAATCTTTAATAGACCATCAACACTGAACACATGCATCATCGTGTGATTTCCTATATAAAAACAAACCAGAAAAAGCCGGATATTGTTGAATTTTGTTCACAGAATTCTTACTCATCCTCATCTCAAATACAAGTGAAAAATAACATCCACGTGAATTGATTTCAATGCTTCGCCATGCAAAAAAACACGTCTTTTTGCTGTGTTGCTCTTAAATACATTGTTTAAAAACAATGAGCTTGACAAAGACTTAATCCTTTACCCCCCATAGCGGTTCCAGAAGAATCACTGATAAAATAACTTTATAAATAGAGTATTAGCCTGTCGAATATGCCAATAGTGTGGCCTAATCCACCGAATATCCTGTTTCTGGAGTAGGGCGGTTTGATTGATATAACAATCACGTGGTGAAAAATGAGAATGGAACGACATCATAAGACTTAATTTTTTTTTCTTTGACGGCATTATTGACTGGGCAGAGGCAGCAGCTATCTCGTACTGTTGATGTGATAGGAAAAACCCAATGGGTGAACCGATAAAAATTAACATATAAGAATGCATGCTTTTTTTTTACACCTATTGTCAAATTTAAGCCTATTTTACTCTGAGCCATTTTGTAACGTCTGGAGGAATTTAATTCATCATAAATACTAGTTCGACTTCTCATGAGTTGAGGTCTATAACGCATATCTTAACTTTGTTCTTGGTTACTCTCCATCTGTCTAACAGTGATTACATGGTCAATTGTATTCCTTAGTATGTATAATTCGTGGAGTTATCATGAAGCTTTCGAAACATAAATAATTCAGCAGTGGATTTTTTAATCGATTAATATCACACAAAAATTCCAAAAGACCTCTATCGGCTGCAAGTGGAAAACATTTTGTTTAAAAAATTTCGAATTTTTGCATTTTTTTCAAAACTATTGATTTTGTAAGTCATATATCTCGAAGGCAGAGCAATGAAACAAAATATTTTTTTATCAATCGATGGCTTATGAAGTTTCCTACAAATAATGTCTTGGGAGTGTTTCAGTGTCATGCTTCCTTTATTTTCTGTGATCGTTCTACAAATGGATCATATATGATCCATTGGGGTGTAAAGGGTTAAGCTTAACAAAATCATACGATGAGATCTTAATTTCAACTGAAGATAATGAAAATATGTTGAGGAGAAATAATATTGGTTTCAGAGGAAGTATTGCTGAAGTAATGAACGTTTTGGTTTTTAATAGCGCCCAGGATAGTGTATTATATCTAACATTAATTCGATTAAAAATAATCTTAGTTGTCATGAACTTTTTCTATTTTTCCCAGGCAGAAAACTTTGATATTGTGATTCAAGTATAACGTTCAATGATGCATCTTTTGTAAAAAAAAACTATCAACATCTTATCATGTTCCTGAATAGAGTTACATGCAAAACAGCAAATGTCGCAAAACTTTTGCTCCACCTAATATTCATAAAAATATTCTTACTATTCTGTATCATAACGTATCATAATTATTTTACACTCACCTTATTCTACAGATAAAGTACTAACGCATTTTCCAGATGCTCGATCTAATTAATTAATTCCATCCATCAAACAGTTCTGAATCACAGCATGGAATGTCAGTGCCAAATGATGAATTTTTTTTTATCAAAGATTATTTAAAAAGTAGCTTCAACAAAATGACTGTGCGTGATTAAACATAGATATTAGATCAAAATATTTGTTCAAGCAAAAACTTCATTAACTTTTTCTTATTGAATTTTATCTGCCAAAGTTATGACTTTTGCTATGTCGTAAATATGAAAAGCTATAGCTCAAAAACTTCAAGACTGGAATTTCTGCTACTCCCAGGTCGAGAAGTACGAGCGGGTTCCAGCAGAAAAACACCGGAAGTCGCTGGAACAGGGTGGCAGTATTCCGACCGGAAAATTTTAGGATTTTTGCCGGTGACTTGCGGTCAAATTCCTCCCGTTTCCTGCAGGAAGTTGTCCAGATTCACTGGAAAAAATCCGAAAAATTTGCGGTCGAAATACTGCCACCCTGTTCCTCCGACTTCTGGCGTTTACCTGCAGGATTCTGCTGGATCCAGTGACCGGAATTTTCGACCTGGGGCTTATCCGTCGACAATATTTTGTATTATTCTATTCTACATGTTCAATATTCTTTTTTCTTCATAAACAAATTATTCTTCACGCTCAATTAATTCAATATCAGTAAATTGAATTTAAATAATTACTTCAGCATAACTATGATTTTTAACTGAATATGAATAAATAATAATTGGTGCATGAGCAGCAAATTCATGATTTGTATTCATTGTAAGAAAAAAAACAGTTAAAATTAGCATGACAAAAAAAAACACTCGGCAGCTTCTAATAAAACATTCTCAACATGATATTTCAAGAAAAGACCAACACAAAAATATCACAGATCGATATGATTGAGATTCTAAAAATAAATTAAAAAAAAACAATCAATTGAAGATTAATTTTTAATGTTTACCTCTAAACGATGACAAATACAATTATCTTTTTTTATATGACTTTCATCAAATTCATGTTGAACTAATTCCATATCTGGAGAAATTTTAATTGGTGATATTAAACGTTTAGCATATTCTTGTAAAACTTGTACATGATAACAAAGAATATGATTAGGAAGTAGATTTCGTTGAGTAAATCGTTGTGCACGTTTTACTATATGTTGTGCCTCAACAGAAAAAAGAAAATATATCCAATAAAAATTCATAGGATTTTATCTATTATCATACTTCATCATCATGATCTTTTGCCCATTGAATTTTTTCAATTAAATCTGATAGATCTTTTTTTATTGGTATATAATGTTTATGTGGTACAAGATCTCGATAAAAATGTTCATAATATGAACTTGCTTGTTTAAATATAAGTCCATCACCGGCTAATAAATAAGGAAATCGATATGAAGCAACAGTTCCATCAAGTGATATTTGATATTTATAATCGAAAAATTTTGTCATTGGAATATGTTCAGCAAATGGTTCAAATTCGGATTTTTGATCACGAAAGAAAAACATTCGTGTTAAATTAGCATCAATTAAATCTGGATATTTTTTTGATAGACGAACTAGATCAAGACGTTCCTTAAGAAAGATAAATTATAGATTGACAAGAAAAAAAGATAATAAATATGCCAATTACTCGACAACTATCACGACCACGAAAAAATCCTTTTGGAATCTTTTTTGACCATGGTAAATGACGTGTTGTATGCATGGTAAATATATCAAGTGTTGTTCTAGAAAGCATTTGTAGTGTAGCTTCTGTTATTTCATAAGTAGGTAGAATAATATCATGTGTTTGTTCTGATCCACACCAAGATATAATTGGTATTGGATCATCACCACTACTTAATGGATAATCACCCAAATTCATTAGAAATTCTACATCAGGTAAAACAACCTAAAGTAAACTTCATATTTATTTTGAATATTTGTATCATTTTGTTTTTTACTTTTCGAGAAAGAGATAATAAAACTGCATCAGAGAATGATTTAAATCCAATATGTTCACCATGACATTTTCGATAAATCTATTTAATAAAAAGAAAAAAATAGAGGATATTCTATATTTTTGTTTTACTTTATTATTTTTAATAACATAATGACAGAGTGCATACGTTTGAGGATATTGAAAATATTTTTCTTGTGCTTTATTAATCACTTTATTCATATCAATTTTATCGAATAATTTTATATCTTGACGTAATTGTGATGTTGATAATGATGATGAACATTCTAATGCATCAAACCATTCTGTTACATTTGTTTGTGGACAATAACAACCATCAGAATAAATATGACCTTTAACAATATGTTCAAGATCTTGATTACCAAATCGAATATATAAATGAAGATTTTCGACAGATTCATATAGGCGATATCGAAATAAATAAATACCATCATTGAGATCATCAATTTTACGATAACTATGAACAGATAATTGATCAGATACACGTGTTAAATGAAATATTATACGATCAACAGGTTCAGTTGAATAATTAAGTCTAAATATGAAATAAATTATTTTTAGTGAATAAAGGATTTCCAAAGAATTATATACTTATGTCCTTTTAAATCATAAGATTGTAAATAAAAATAACGAACAGGTACTTGAAATGATGCTCGAAGGCCAGGTCCGTAAAGACGGGATTGAGTAGAAACAGAAGTTATTGATATTAAATGAAAAATTAGCACGAATAACATTTTGTGTTCTGAAAAAAGAAAAGATCAATGTAAATGTTCATTCATCAATTCTTACTTCTAATGATTCATCAACATGTTAAACTAAACAAAATACAAAGAGGGCACCACAGGATGATATTTTTCAATAAACGTTTCATTTATGAAAATTTCAAGTATTAACTCTATTAGATTTAATATATGAACAAAGTTATCTTTCTTTTCGATTAAATCAATTGAAATTTACAATTGAAAAGTGAATGAATACAAAGATACTTCTATAATTCTTTATTTGTTGTCCTGTAGGACAAATTCTTCAATCGAACCGTTGATTGAAAGGCGACTGCGTACACAAAGTGCAGTAGCTGATTTATTGATTTTCACTCTGTTGGTTGCCATAATAAGTTTTTTTTCCTTCTTCTCGATGTATTAGTCACGGCTCAAGTGAACTGCTCGTTCTTCATAACAGCTATAACGTTTTTTTTTTCGAAATAAAAAAAAAGCTTGTCATGATCGTGAGAATGTGACGAGTGCGCATTTGAAATTCATTTCTTTTAATTTCTGAGGCTATCAAAATATGGAAAATGTTAATTGACAGCTGAAAGTTTCCTTATATCGTCACACATAACTCAATCTGAAAACGATCATTGATATATCAGATGGTTTAATGCAATGATTTCCTTATATGACAATAGTTGATTCAGATTCATTATGATTTCCTTGACAGAAGTGTAAGATTTAGAAATCGCAAATATCATATAGGATCACTGTTCTTCTTTTTCTAGTATTGATTTAGGTATTAAGATATTTGTTAGAAATAAAATAATTTTAAGTGTACAACATGTTTTGATAGAAGGATTACAAAATTCGGGACATGGATTTATTTCTATATTTTCTCGTAGAGATGGGACAATCGAGACTTTTAGAGACTCGGTTTATTTCACGTTAATCTTAGACAATTATTCGTTTCAAAATATAATGTGATTCACTGTTTTTTTGAATAAGTTTGATAGGAACATCATAAGACCTACGGTTTTCACCTTACGAAAGAGGAGAAGACTAGGAGCGATCGAAGTCTATCGAAATTTGATTGTCCAGCAATTGATTGATAATGGGACTTTTTCGTAGAGAATTTCAAAAACAATATTATAAAGCTATTGTCTTTTCAATTTGAAGTTTTAATAGGGCAAATCAATAGAAAAGTTCTTCTCTTTTGAACTATGCAAGGTTAACATTCCTAACTTGTTCCGTTAGAGAGTTATAAAGCTTTTCCTGAGACCTCTTATTTCAGCCACTTGAACTAGGATCATCTGAAAAAGCGGCTAGGAAAGGATAATTCACCATTCTGAGGAGAATGGTGATGTGTGTTTTTAGATTTGGACTGATCTAAGTCTGTTATCTCGATATTACCGAAATTTCACAATCAGCTTATATCTAACGAATGATTTGACATTTTGAAAATAAGGAGATTACAGAGGCAGATCAGTTTGAACCTAACACTAAATATCACCATTCGACTCAGTATGATAAATTGTACGTGTTTAATTGAGTTTCCGAGCCATCCAAGATCAATTGACTGCAATCCAGGATCTCAAAAACACTCTTATAACTCATGAACGGAACAAGCTAGATATGTCAGCTTTGCGTAACTCAAAAGAATAGAAATTTTTCTACTAATTAGCCCTATTAAAAGCCTAAATTGAAAGGAAAATAGCTTCCACGCATCGTTTTTTGAATACTTCTACGAAGAATTCAATGAATAACTCAATTGCTAATCAATCAAATTTCAATACTACTTTGATCAGTGGAATACATTATACTCTTAAATAAATATTAGGTAAGTAAAATTTAATAATGAAAGAAAGCAAGAACGAGATGATTATCGATTAATAGCCAAGTTATCTATCGCTATTTTGATTTCATATCATATCGTTTCATGAACATATGTTGAGAAAACTTTTGCACAAATCTCTAATCAATTTCAGTTCGTTTGACTGATGATTAAGGCAGTAACTTACCAAGCAATTCTTTTTATTGAATTAACATGTGATACTGAAGATGATGCTTTCAAATAAGTTTTGTTTTATGCAAAAAAGGCTTTCTTTTCTAACTTGAACTTTCTTCATAATTAAGAGTCCTGAAACTGTAGTCTTTCAAAATAAATTTATTTATTTCGCAGGTTTAAAAAAATTCAACATTAATGGTCTACAATAATCTGAAAATATTTGTCGCTCATATCTATATATTCTTTAAAAAAGCAAACAAAGATATACTACAATATAAACATCAACACAAATAAAATAGTACTACAATAAATAAAAAAGTTCTCTGTTAATTTCGTTACTTTATTACACATATCTTGATCTGAACAGAAACATATTTCTATTGGTTTTTTATTATCTCTTTTGATTTTTCGACAACCATTTGATGTATTAATACCCATTTCAGCTGTTCGTAATAATTCATCAGCTGAAAAACATCGACGACTTGATTTTAATGATGATAAAGCGGCATCTTTTAATTTTAATCGTTCTTGACTATTATTTCCTAATCGTTTCATATCAAGTAAATCAACTGATTTCCAACATTTTCCATCACAATCTTCTAATGTATGTTCAGTAAAATCAAATTGTGCTTGACAATCTTAAATAATATTTAAAATAAATATAATTATCAAGAAATAAAATTACATACCATCTTGAAATACTCCTGGTTCTTCCGATGATTTAATTGTAACTTCACATTTCCAACATTGTAATGAAGATTCACGAGAATTAATTTGATCAAAAATATTGAAAAAATATAATATCAATAGTAACCATTTACTTGTCATCTCCCATTCATCAACAGTAAATCGAACTCATGAAATACATAGAAAATGAATAGATTGTATACAGATTTGTTTGCTCAGGAATAGTGCTCATCTTTTTTTTCTTCTTCTTTTTCTCTTGTTTGATCGGTCATTTATATCTTCTATCGATCAAATCTAAAGGTGACAAGCTCATCCGTTCATCCCTTTTCCTTTTTTCTTTTTTCTTTCTTCACTATTGACGAAATCTTCTGGTCATCTGCTTTGTATTCAATATGTACATAACACAGTAAAAATACGAAAGTATTTCGTTAAATAAACATTAAATTGTCTTTTCACACACAATATTTGTCAAACATATGTAAAGAAAAAAAGAAATCTTACTCATAATCATTTTTAATATACTATTCCACTTATGTTTCATATACATTTAGTATTTGTTACTTTCAAAGTATCTAGCCTTCTATAAAGTATGTAATAGTTATGGATTTTACAGTTCTCGCACGTATGAGACATTTGGTGAAGAAAATGTCATTGTGCAATATTGATTAGCTCGAATATTAATATTTGAAGGTCTTTGTGTGAAAACAAAGGCATTTTTATATCAGTTATTATTAGAAGACAACAATACAAATAGAATACGATGAAGAAGAATGAAAGTAGACAAAAAAAATAGAATTCAGGAAAAAGAATACAATGATTTTTATTTAGAGAAGTATAAATATTTCTTCAATATTTAAAATAAATTATAAAATGAATATATCTACGATTGTGTTTTTGATATCTTAACAGAAACGTATTAGGGTATGTTGCTAAGTGTCAAAAGTGCCTTTTAGTCCGAACTATGTACACATAATGACTCATCAATATTCTGAAAAGAGTTCGGACAAGCAGTTTACTACTGTCGAGAAACTGTAGTGTTTATCGAAATGTCGTGGTTTTCGTTAGGAACATTAAGAAAACTGAGTTTCAAATTTTTTGATTGCACCTATTCTGAAATAAGAACATCGGAATTTTGGCGTGATATATGAGCAACGTGAAAACTATGTTTTTCTTAAATAGCCAAATCTTAGGATAAAAAAAAGAATTGTCGTAGACGAACTGTTGTAGCTATAGCTGTCTTCTTCATCTATTTCAAATTAACTTTTAATCAAATCTGGTCAAAGGAACTATCAGTCAAGTTTCAGTGCTTGAGCTGTCCTCTATGTATCATTGCATGATTACGAAATCACTTATCTAGACGTTTAATTTACACAGAAATCAACAGAAATAAGTCTAATTACTTTCCATGTTTCAATGTATAGCTCAGTATTCATACATAGGTCCAATGCTGCTCCTTATCTTCCACAATAATATTATATAAAATTCAATGTCAAGTCTTCATTTCAAACATTTGTTTGCAGTTGACTTGGCTATTGTTTAGTTACCGGCAGTTACTTGATCATGAAAAATCCTTATGCTATATCTGTCTCAGCATAAAGATTTTTATTATCACACAGTTACTTTGATACAAGCTTTGAATTTTAAAAAAAATGCTGGCTGCAAGTATCTTGATGTTATATCGGAAACTATATTAGCTTTTGTCTGTCATCTCGATTACATCATTTCAGAAATTGATAAAAACATTACATTATTGAAACATTTATCTTCCACTTGTATGTTATCAAAGAAATTTTTCTATAGATTATATAACTTATGTATTCGCCCATACTTTCAATCGATTTTAATTATTTATCCAATTTTATTTATGACTATAGATAAACAGCTGGAAACGTTACATCGGAAAATATTTTGCATTATACACAAACAGTATATATAATACTACAAAGGATGAAATAATCAGCCGGAACTAGTCATGCATCTATATTTCATACAGTTATTTTCTATAATTATTTGTAACAATTTGTCATTCATTACTGATTTTATTCATCAGACATAGTAGACGTTACTCTCTAAAGATTATTGTTTCAATGTTGCTCCTTCGAAGGAAAAACGCAAAATTATGAGCACATGAAGAACATTAAATTGTATACATTAGCTATTGATGTCTTGTACCTATTTCTGTTTAATTCTATTGCATAAAAACAAAGAAGCATATTACATTGCATATCGACATTTGATTCTCACTGTGTCCACATTTTTACCTTTTATTATTATATTTATTCTGAGTGACAACGAGTGGCCATAAAACTGTATATCATGTTGTTCTTTCGTTGTCCAAGTATCCTTATCTCGCTCTACCTTCCGCTCTTTTTCTCCCCGAATATTTTTATTATATCTTCAACTTCTTATGATAAATAAGACAATATAGTATCACCGATAGATTGTTCTCAAGTACTGATGAAGCTAAAACAAAAAAATAACATGATTGTTTTGATCAATCGGTACTTAGTCAGGGTATGGGTGGTGTATCAGCATTGTTCCAACTTCATATTATTACAAGTCTTGTGACTCAATTAAGACTTCGATGTCTTTGTATATGAGGAGATGCTGCTAGCAGCTAATTACGTTTTAGAACTTCTATACCGATTAGATGATTTGCAAACATGAATCTAGAGGTTCATCATAAGAATATTGTAATTCTCTTTGTTTGATGTTATTATAACTGACCGGTTGATCACAATTTCGTCTATGGTGAAAGTCCAATTTAGTTGAGCAAGCTATCACAAAACAATATGTATATAGAATACATATGAGGATAGAAGCTAATATAGTTAGAATATGTTTATACCATCCGTTACACTAAGGATTTATTCGAATAGGACCGAATCATATTTCTAACAAGAAAAAAAAACGAGATTATTATGAAGAAAAAGAAAACACAATCTAATGATTATTTAGCGATTACTCTCCACAGGTCTGATTTGGAAACATCATTATTGTTTTTTTCCCGCAAAAGCCAGGTTCGCCAACAAAGATAAGAAGGAGACTTGATTTTATATACTAATGATCTTATTTTGTATGTGGATTAAAAATTTGGCTCACAGTTACACCCTATTTACATCTCCGATTCACTAGCAATGTGATTCCTTCAGCGATCGGAGATCGTAATGTAGCAACGTAAGTTATGAAAGGCATTAAATGAACAATTATTATTTGGAATAACATATAAAATTGATGTCTATGATATAGATGAATATGCTCTATCAATATAATCGATTGAACACTTTTTAATCCACATCTAATTCACAGTCCAATCAGCGAAAGTCTTATTTGCTAAACTCTCCGATATTTCTATTGTAACTGCATCTCATATTCTTTTGTGAAACATGATGATGAAACGTTGACCGTGGTATTAGTTTGATCTAAACCAAAATCTTTAGTGTCTGAGATTCTATCAAATAATGAAATCCACTTACAATAAATAGTAATGTACATTTGCTTTTCAAAGACAAAAGTATTTCATCGATAATATTTATTATCATATAAAACTTTGAGATAAAACTTCTTCTTAAGATATGTTTCAATGGATGCTTTTATGATTTATAATTGATAGTTTATTAATCACTACCTGTAGTGTTCGACTATTTCTTTTGTTTTATTTTGTGCAAATAATAATGACATTATATATTTGATAACTATGCTCCTACTTGTTGTCTTTACTGCATATACTTATAATTTCACATTGATAATGACCATAAATTTTCCTGAGATAAATAATATAAAAGAAACTCCGTTTCACGTAAAGACACTTTTATCACAGTTATATAAAAATCAAACAACTTTCTTTGAAATTCACCATCATGTGCCTTACAAAATTAACTACTTCACTGACGTTTATTCTACTTCTAGTAGTTGCTATATTAGTAATAATTTCAATTGCATTAAATGCTGCTACGCTTGGTATAATTAATAAACGATTTAATGAAATTAAAAATGAGAATGGTCAAACAACAAGTGAAACTACTATTCCAACAGGACCGATAACGACAAGCACCGTGCGACCACCTATCACTTTTAACTTGGCTGATTCAATTCGTATTGAAGATTTAATGTACCATCTTAATGAGTTACAACGTATTGCTAATAATACAGGCAATACTCGTGCTATTGGAACTCGTGGATTTACAGAAACAGTTAATTATATCTATAATTATCTAGTTAATAATGTTGCTACTTTAGAAGTCTTTCGAGAACAAGTACCAATACAGAATTTTACAATTAAAGGAGATCCAATATTGATCTTATCTATCAATGATAGTAATGAAACATTCACTTATTCAACTAATTTAGCAAGATCCGATTTCACTTATGTCAATTACTCAGCTCCTATCAATTTAACAAAATTTAATTTAGTAGTTGTTCCTAATAATGGATGTAATGACCTCGATTGGCAAAATGTAAGAGGCCGAGCAGCATCAGTAGTAGTTGGAGGCACATGTACTAGTGCCGAAAAAGGTGAGTTAGCCAATAAATATAATGCATCGGCTTTGTTGTATTACAATCATGGCTTGACAACTACGAGTCTTGCACCTGTCATTATACGTCTTCGTCAAGCAAATAAATTACCAGCACTCTTTCTATCTTATGCTGCTGGACAAAAATTAGTCAATGTAGCTAATTTAACCAATGTGAATATTTGGCTCCAGGTTGAACGTGAAGATTATCCATCGTTCTACGTTGAAAATATCTGTGCCGATACAAAAGAAGGCAATATTAATGAAACCATTGTTGTGGGTGGTCATAGCGATAGTGTACCTGTTGGACCAGGAATTAATGACAATGGTTAGTATTAGTTGTCTTTTTTTTCTAGTTTGTATCTGCTCCGATGTGTTACTACTATAGTCAAATTAATGTTCATATTACAATTTGATACAGCAATATTACTTTGAGTAAAATGAGATAACTCGTTTCTCTTCGCCACGTTCTTTCATCAGACTGTATTCGATTTACAAAAGATTCAAGAAGCCGTTTTTTCTCTTCTTTTTATTGAAAACTTCAATATTTTTACTATGGTTGATGCTCTTCAATCTCCTTTAAATTGAATGCACATTTTTTCAAAAATTTTGAATGACAGTCAGAAAGATAGTTTTGGAGAGTTTGATTTTCCGTAGATTCTCATCCAAGCAGTTTTGCGGAAAATGTTAGGTGAGGAAATACTGATAGAGAATACTTGCAACTGCACAAATACTATTTCAGATTCTCGTTAGTCATTTCTTTTGAGGAGAAAAATGAAAAATACAACTGGTCTAAACTCTTGTCTACGATTATATGCCTTTTAAATGTTGATCTTCAAATTATTTCTTTTAGTATCAAGGTCCTTGTTTGTTTCTAAAAACAAAAACTTTTTTCATTTTTCTATAATTCAGGTAGTGGAACAATGGCTATTCTGGTTTTAGCGACGAATTTGGCTCGTCTTTACCAATCTGGTAATTATACTAAGTATAGATATCGTGTTCGATTTTGTTGGTGGGCTGCTGAAGAAATCGGACTTGTTGGAGCAACTTATCATGCTCAACAAGCAAAAAATTCATCTGTTCCTCCTGGTCAACAACTTCAAGATTATCTAATTAATCTTAACTATGATATGCTTGGATCCCCTAATTTTATGTTGGGTATCTATGATGGTAGTACAGCAAAACCGGGTACTCCACAATCGGCAATCAATGGAAGTATTCGAATCTCTGAAGCATTTTGTAATTGGTTTAATACAAAAAATTTACCGTGGGATTATACTGATTTTAGTGGTCGAAGTGATTATGGCCCATTTTTAGCAGCTGGTATCGTTGCAGGTAAAGGGTCCAAGAAGAATAAAGTTTATCTGCTTTTACTGCTAGACTTTCCGAGCTATCTCTTCAGTGACTTTAGGTTTCTTCAGGTCTGTTCAGTCCCTTTCTGTCCCTTTAGTCCTTTTAGGTTCTCTCAGTCCTTGTCGTCTTATACGTTTTTGACAGAGCAAAAAGTTTGCTAAAGAAAATTTTTAAGAAACTACATTCACCAATAGTTTTCAAACTGAATGATATTGTGGGAACTAAAGGAACGCAAAGAGACTAAAGTATTCTAACAAATTTACATGATGTGTGAGCATAAAAGTAAGATGGAATAAATTTAATTTTTCGTAAATCTATATTACAGGTGGACTATTCTCTGGTGCTGATGAGACTAAAACCGCTGAACAACGTACTAAATATGAAGAAAAACTCGGTCAAGGTGGTTTGACAGGTGCAATTCTTGATCCTTGTTATCATAGAGCATGTGATACAACTGATAATATTAATCAATTGGGTTATGAAAAAATGGTTCAAGCAGCAGCATACATGCTTGAATACTTAGGCCAAAAAGATGATTTGCCAACATGGTTATATCCAAATGGACGACAAATGCCTCGATTACCAGATGATTATTTTCCTAACAGTGATTACTTTCGAGATACGAACATTTAGGTGAAAAGTTACGTATTACTTTAATGGACAAAAAATCTTTGTTTTTTCGAATATCTATCGGACTTGAGTACATATTTTTCATAAAGAACAGGATAATTTTAATTTAAAAGCTCATAAAAAAACAGAAAATAAAGTTTGTACACACATGAATATATTAACAAAAGTCATGGAATTTTTGTTGATTTACTCTAAAGCTATACATTCTCTTTTTATACATTGTATTCCATTCTTTTCGAAGCAATATTATTATGTGTATGGTGAGATACTGGAACGTGTTTTGAAAACTTGATTTTGTTCATGTATTTACGCTCTAACTTTATATAGTTAGATCGAATTTCTCATTTTCAACAGTTCTTTTTATATATGAGGTGGTCAATATCATATGAACAGGTCGAAAACTGTCGGTTAATTATAGTGATCTTCATGATTGATTATTAATCGCGATTATTTTCTTGGTGGTCGAGATTTTACAACGTAAAACACAATGGTTAACTACAGTTGACCGGACCAGGAAAGAGTCATTTAGTCGTGGCCAATGGGCCATCTCGTTGACTATCATTTATCGTGACTTTTGACGCTGTAATATCTAGTAAACAAAAGTAGTAATTATGCTTAATCACGAATAATGAATATAGTCTAAAGTAAAAAGCAGATTTCGATCTATTTCTATCTCTGCAAATTTCAAAATCTCATTGCCATTTTAGTACACATAGATTAATGATAACTTTTTCCAGTAACTAACAAAGTAAACAGTATGATGTGATGAATTATAATCATTTTTGTGACTTCTTAGATACAAAATATGACGATAGTTAGATTATTTGTGACATCTCAGAAAACTAGTGTTGATCCCAAACAATGTTTTCTTTACTTATTCATCAATTATTCAGTATATTCTGCATTAATAAAAGACCGAAATTATTTTCAAAACTACATATGAACTAATGAGAGAAATTTTTCAAGTGATGAATTGTGTTTTGATTCAAGACTATGTGCATCATGCACATTTGAATGAGCTATGAATACTTTGAAAAATAGTGCAGAGCTTTGACTTATTTCTTCTACAATGCTGCATTTTCACGATATTTTGAACTCAACATCGCGATACAAGTTTGAGATTTTTCGTTGTTCCTGTTCTATGGTATGAGTATAGTAAAAATATATCTTTTACATTGTTGATGTATAGTGGTAGATTCGATATTCATTTTTCAACATAAAATCAAATCGAAAGATCTGAAACTTTTGCAATAAACTACACCCGCTAAGACCGATCTCTGTGCTAAAGTTTAAGTCGAAACTCAACCATCAATTTGTGTGGCGTTTCTTAGTGAGACCATGACATTAAACTAAAAGATATCGTCGAACTGCAGTATTTCTGAAGAAATAATTTAAGTAGTCAACTCTTTACTGGATACTTCTAGCGCATTTTAGTGTGCATGATGCACATAGTACTGACTCGGAAAAAAATAACTAGCTATGACACCTTCCTCGTAAGAAAGAAAATTGAAAAAAGAAGTAAATCCGACTATCAATCTCAAATCTTCTTCTTGTTTCCGCTTGGGTAAATTTCATATTAGTTTTCATAATAGAAATTATTGTAACATCAGTCAATGTAGAAAAACATCATTTTTACTACTATTCTTTATTAAGTATTATTGTCAAATACCATTCCTTGAAAGCAACAACAAAAGGCGACATTTGCAAATCATTGTTTTTTTATTAATCTTTTTCTCAAATGTCAAACATCGGCAATGTTTTCAATATCACCTTTATTCTTCACTTTTCATTGTGTTTTGATCGATAAAACACAAATAAACATGTCATCGAACCAAGTCTTTCACGTTGAGCATAGTAATAACGTTTCTAAAAATACTAAATATAAAACATTCCCTATGCTTATCATTGGCATTGCAATCGTGCTTGGAACACTTATTGTTGCACTTTCGATCGTTACTCTTGTCAAAGTTAACAAGAAATTTCACACGATCTTAGACAACAGTGAAAAACTAACGATCAGTTCAAAAGCAGTTCAACAATCATCTGATTCCGTTTTGGATGCATCGATTCGTATTGATGAAGTCATGAGCTATCTTAATGAACTTCAACGTATTGCCACTGCTAATAATGGAACTCGAGCTGTCAATACACCTGGATTTAATGCAACATTGAACTATATCGAGAACTATTTAACTGCTAATACGAATTACAAAATAACAAAGACTTTTTTCTTCTTGAGAGACTTTGTACTTGCAAGTAATCCGATTCTAATTTCATCAATTAACGGTGCCAAAAAGAACTATACTTATTCAACTAATCTTGCAATTGCTGAATTTTATCATGTTAAATATTCAACTTCGGCTAATTTTTCCAGTAGTATTCAACTTACAGTTATTCCAAATGTGGGCTGTTCAGATGATGATTGGCAAAAAGCTACCTTACCACCTCAAGATCGAGTAGCACTTGTCAAACGTGGAATATGTGGATTTCAAGATAAAGCTATACTTGCTGCTAAATATAATGTAGATGCACTTTTGATCTATAATGATGGTGAATCACCTGATCGTGTTTCCCCGTTAGAAGTTAATCTTGCTCAAGATAATGCTATACCTGCTCTGTTTCTTTCGTTCACTGTTGGTCAAGTCCTTGTGAATGCAGCTAAAAATTCGTCAACAAATATTACTGTACAATTAATTATTGACGTGAAAAATCTACCTGACTTTCCTGTAGGAAATATTTGTGCTGATACCCCAACAGGTGATGTTACACAGACTATCGTCATTGGTAGTCATAGTGATAGTGTTACAGCTGGACCAGGAATTAATGATAATGGTAAGTTTACTATTCAAATAATCCTTCTCATATTTCTTTCTTCCATTATAGGTAGTGGTAGTGCAGCCAATCTAGCTTTAGCTGTTTCCCTTGCTCGTCTTTTTCGAACATCAACGTATCCGAAATATAAATATCGAGTACGATTTTGTTGGTGGGGTGCTGAAGAACTTGGTCTTCTTGGTGCAGACTTTCATGTCAAACAAGCCAAAAATTCTTCTATTATTGGTGAACGTCTTTCAGATTATTTAATTAATCTTAACTATGATACGATTGGTTCACCCAATTATATGTTAGGTATATATGATGGTGCCACAGCTAGAAATGACACACCATCACAAGCACTTGTTGGTAGTATTAAAATTACAGCTTTGTTTCGAGATTGGTTTATTCAACAGAACTTACCATATGATTATAGAGATGTGAGTGGTCGAAGTGATTATGCTCCATTTTTAGCTGAAGGTGTCGTCTCAGGTGGGCTCTCTGCTGGTACAGATGGTATCAAAACACAAAACCAACGTGATCGATATGATCAAATGCTTGGTCAAGGTTTAGGAGGTATATCGGGTATTATGTACGATCCTTGCTATCATAAAGCATGTGATACAATTCAGAATATTAATATATTAGGATACGAGAAAATGGTGAAAGCAGCTGCTTATGTTTTAGAATTTCTAGGTCGAGAAGAAGATTTAAAAACATGGCTTTATCCATTTACTAAGTGAATACTTGATTTCATCAACCTCAGAGAGAAAGAGAATACAAGTCAATAAACGAATATTATGTATTACTTTAATTGCTTTATGCATCTTATTCTCTTTTTCTCTTGTTTATCGATATGTCTATCTAAATTAATAGAGTTTGTTATTGAGTTTATGTCTGTTTACTGCTATAGAGTCTTTGGTTTTCTTTTGATAATTTAATAATCGTTTCGCTAATATCATGATCTATTTGAAGAAATGTTCATTTTTAATTTTATTTTGCTCTTTTTGTAATTTTATTTATTTTCTTTTTTTATATGCTTTTCACTAGTATATTTGTCAGCTATTCTTTCTTCTCGGTGTGATTATATGGTTTTTTTGCTGAATAGATACAAAAGAAGATGTAATGTAATTGAATGAAAATTATTATCAAAACTGACAATAATGCGCTGCTACTTAAAACTAACTTATTGGAGTGTACTTGTTGGATAATTTTTACTAACTTTTTTGTCATTTATGAGCTCTGAGCTGTTTATCGTGTGAATTAGGATAATAGTCTGTTATTAAGTAGGAAACCTGCTTGACTTCAATATTTGCAATACTTGTATGGACACGAAAAGTCAAGATCATTGACGATAGTAAGAATAAGCAATAATAATTCGTTTGTATTTGTGATTGTCTCAGTTTCTCATATAAGAATAGGTGCTTTTGATTGAATAATATCCTTTCTTGTAATGGCCGACCGGTTACGTTAATCAGGACGTATTTGATAGATACAATGTTCAAATTTCAGTACTATCAGTCATGAAACTTGAACAAGCCATTGATGACTGTTTGTCTCGTATTGCCCATCGGATAGCATGCTGCTTAAGCGATGACTTACACCTACTCTCATGGCTAGTATGTAGTTACTCAGTGTGTATGAAGAGTTCCAGTCCTTGAACGCGATAGTTCTGCTTCAGGCTGACCTTCTATCTAGAACTACAGATATTAATAATTGTAGGAAAGATAGAGATATTATTCCTTCTCTCTTTTAATGATAGACTACTGTACATTGTTATTCGAAAATATTTTCAATAATAAAAAATATTTCTTATATCATTGAATAATAAAACATTAACAAAGAACATTTCAATTATTGAAAACTTGACATTCAGTTTCTTATAAAACAATGAATTAGTCATGAGATATTTTTAAAAGATAAATTTGATTGTTATTAAGCTATAATGTATTTCTACGTTCCCGATGACAAACATATCAATATTCTTCTTACGACATTGTATAGTAATATTTAGTCAATTCAAAGTGACGTCATTGTTTTGCTAGAAACCTTTCTTTCATTTTACTATTATTGTTTAGGTATTACTTATGACAATAAAAAACAGCAAGCTTATCACAAGCTATTGTTTTTTTTTCTGTATTTATCTTCTTTTACAAATGTCGAACATCCACATGGATTTATATTTGTCTATATCTTTCTGTTTCATTTTACATTTTCTTCTTAGTCTTCAAAATAAACATGCCAAACATTGGATGCATTCAACTCGAGGAAAATAATAAAATCTTGAAAAACATCCAATATAAGAAATTTAAAGTACCAATCCTTGGTATAACACTTATTCTTGGAACAATTATTGTTGCACTATCTATCGTTGCTCTTGTCAAAATTAATAAGAAACTTCATCAAATTCCAGATAAGAGTGAAAAACCAATTATCAGTTCAAAAGCAATTCAGCAATCATCTGACTCTATTCTGGGCGCATCTATTCATATTGATGAAGTGATGAGCTATCTCAATGAGTTTCAACGTATAGCCACTGCTAATAATGGGATTCGAGCCGACAGTACATCTGGATTCCATGCAACCATGGACTATATCGAGAACTATTTAACTGCTAATACAAATTATAAAGTGACGAAGGCTATTTTTCGTGTCAGATCAGCAGCACTTGCTCGCATACCTATTTTAATGTCATCAATAAATGGTACTATTACTAATCATTCATTTACGACAACTCCATCAACTACCGATTTCTACCATATTCAGTACACGGCATCGGCGAATTTTACAGATTATGTTGAACTTACTGTAATTCCAAACTTCGGGTGTTCAGATGATGATTGGCGCAATGCTAGTGCATCGGCTTCTGGTCGAGTAGCATTAGTGAAGCGAGGCAACTGTACTCTTGCGGAAAAAGCGACACTTGCTTCTAAATACAATGCTGCTGCTCTTCTTATATATAACGATGGTCAATCACCTAATCGTATGGCACCTATGTTTGTTGCTCTTAACGAAAGCAATAATTTACCAGCACTTTTTCTCTCATATCAAGTCGGTCAAAGATTTGCTGATGCTTCTCGAATGAAACCAGGCAATGTTCGTATTTTAATCAATATTGTCCGACGCAATGAATCAACATCTCCATCGGCAAATATTTGTGCTGACACTCCAACAGGTGATGTTACACAGACTATCGTCATTGGTAGTCATAGTGATAGTGTTACAGCTGGATCAGGAATTAATGATAATGGTAAGTTTACTATTCAAATAATCCTTCTCATATTTCTTTCTTCCATTATAGGTAGTGGTAGTGCAGCCAATCTAGCTTTAGCTGTTTCTCTTGCTCGTCTTTTTCGAACATCAGCGTATGCGAAATATAAATATCGAGTACGATTTTGTTGGTGGGGTGCTGAAGAACTTGGTCTTCTTGGTGCAGACTTTCATGTCAAACAAGCCAAAAATTCTTCTATTGTTGGTGAACGTCTTTCAGATTATTTAATTAATCTTAACTATGATATGATTGGTTCACCTAATTATATATTTGCTATTTATGATGGCCGTTCAGCTAATAGCGATACTCCATCACAAGCGCTTCCTGGTAGTAATAAAATTACAACGTTGTTTCAAGATTGGTTTATTCGACAGAACCTACCATATGATTATACAAATTTCACTGGTGACAGTGATTATGCTCCATTTTTAGCTGAAGGTATAGTTGCAGGTGGATTATTTTCTGGCGCATTCGAAGTCAAAACACAAAACCAACGTGATCGATATGATCAAATGCTTGGTCAAGGTTTAGGAGGTATTGCAGGTGTTGCCACAGATCCATGCTATCACAGACCATGTGATACAATTCAGAATATTAATATATTAGGATACGAGAAAATGGTGAAAGCAGCTGCTTATGTTTTAGAATTCTTAGGTCGAGAGAATGATTTAAAAACGTGGTTGTATCCTTCAATTGAAATTCAACGTCTCGCTGATCGATCACAAAAAAAAACACGACCAGCGTACAATTCAATTAACGAATATTTTGGATTACCTTATTATTGAGAAATTATAGTATAGACATGATATGACATTATTAGTAAGAAATTTTTCATGAGAATACGTTTTAATAAAAATTAAGGCAGGAAACACTTCATAGCGATCTTTTCTTTCTCGAATTCCAAATCAGAAGTCCATATTTTGTGACGCGTTGATCTCAAGAACCGCACATTGTCTGATGCTCGTTGCAATGCTTTTAGAGACATTAAGATCTCTATACGATACATATCTCATTGGGTTTTCTATATGATGGGTTGTTCGGCTAAAGTAAAAGCTCGATATTATAAATTATGTATGGATTTTGTTTTCATTATGTCGATATCATGAAGCGAGACTAGGCGCTAATCTGAGCGATGATTTGTTATCACTCATAGTAATGATAACCTACGGCAGATGGACAGTTGCTCGTCGAGCGGGTTATTCACAGACAAGGTTTGGATGTAGATGTGGGTCTTCTCTTCATCCAAACCCACACTCAAAATATCGAAGTCTTTTCTTTACCAAAGATTCGTAGAGAAAGCTAAATTTTACAAACTGTAGATGATTTGATATTAATATAAAAGAAAACAATTTCGTTCATGATTGTGAAACACAAATCTGATGTACAAAGAGTGTGAAATATCGATATGTATTGTATTTAAACATAACGCTTGGTAAAATAGGACATAGCTTTCTAGCGCTTTTGGAATACGAACAAATCAATTAAGAAGTGTGTTTCTCCATAATAAGGAGAGTAAGATTCAAATTTAAATTCAATAACAACTTATAGTAATAATAGTAAACTTTCAGCAATTTGATAGGTATTAAGAGTTTTTGTTGTCTGTGCAATCTCGAAAACTGAAAACTGAAATTCGAAATACTTCGTATGCTACGAATAGAAAATTAGTGTAATTCTATTTTGTTTTATTTCATTCAAATTAATAACGTTATGTTTCTTTTCATTAAATGAGACTCATAAAGTTTTATCCTTTTTTCCTCTTCATGATTACTATCGCATAAAGCGTCCTCTGTATACAAATATATATCGTAGAGGTGTATTTTTTTCTTCAATCATTATAAAGCATCAGCAGCTGTAAATGATTCACTGAAAATAATGTTGAATGATGATTATCCATTTCAATGTCTATCTCAAGAAGCTCGAGAGCTTTATTTAGAAAGTCGTATTTCACGTATTCGTGTTCCATCACCACTAGTTTTCTATCGAGATTATGTCAGTCGAAATAAACCCGTTATTATTCAAGGAGCACTTGATCAATGGTCTGCTTTATCTAAGTGGAACACATCTGAATATTTACGTCATCAACTTGGTGATACCCCGGTAACAATTGATATAACTCCGGATGGTTATGGAGATTGTGTTAAATTACATAAATATTTTGTTACACCATTAGAAGAAAAAATGCCTTTTAATTATTTCATGGATATTATTGAAGGAAAAAAATCTTTTAATGGTATTGTTTATTGTCAACATCAAAATAGTTCGTTTACAACAGAATTTCAACAATTAAATAATGATATACATGAACTTAGTTGGGTACGAGAAGCATTTGGTTAGTTAGGGTTTTTATTCTTTAGTTTAATATATATATTTTTTTGTTGTGTTTCAAGGAAATCCACCGGATGCTGTCAATCTTTGGATTGGTACATCAAAATCAATATCAACTCTTCATCATGATCCATATGAAAATCTTTATGCTGTTATATGTGGTCGAAAACATTTTACACTTTATCCACCAACAGATCTTTATTGGTTAGATCAAAAATTTTATAAAAAAGCTCATTATGAACGTTATAATTCTTCACAAAAGATCATAGATGACGATGGTATTAATTTAAAAGTTGACGAAAATTTTATTATGGTACCGGATGATAATGAAGTTCCATGGTTTGATCATACTAAAAATGATCTTGAACGAAATACATATTTGAATCCATTAAAAATTACTCTTGAACCAAATGAGCTTTTATATTTACCATCATTATGGTTTCATTGTGTTGAACAAGATTCACCAATAACAATAGCATGTAATTTTTGGTATGATATGGAATATGATATTAAATGGAATTATTATCAATTTATGTCAAATATTATTAAACAAAAACGAAAATCCGAAGAAAAACGGACATAATTGTTTTTGTGTTTTTGTTTGTAAATATCTGTGATTTTCTTCCGATAAAAGATATATTTTTTCTTCTAGTAAGACAAATATATGTTCGTCTTTCTCGTTCTTCAGTTCTTTTTTTTTATTTTTTCTATCGTTCAGTATAAAAGTAAAAGAAGAAATAACATACAAAGACAGAAAGAGAAAAGAAAGTGTGGATAGTTGCTTTCTATTGAATTCATACTTAAACGCCGATTGTTAGTTTTTCTTTGTTGGCATTTGTGAAACGACGAGTGTGATCAACTACTGTTTCATTCAACGTAACGTGCTGCAACAAAGATATGACGTTCAAAGGAATGTTAAAGATTTTAATTAATGATTATCGAAAACAGCATGTAAGTCATCCTTATTTAAGGGATAATTCATTTATCGAAAAGTATATATTTATTTGAATCATTTACTTAAAAAAAGTTCAATTATATGTACTTTCGAAAACATTTCTGTTAAGTCTTCAGGGCTATTTATTGATCGAGATAGACTCGTGTTTTAATTGAATGTTGTCGTAGACTGACTACGTGTTGTTGTTTTTACGTCTGTGGTAGTATATTCATAGAACTTTCAAAACATAGATTGCCAGAGCCTAAAGTAAAATATTCTTTCTAATGTTTTTTAGCTAGTTCAACGAGACCTGTGAATAGTTATTAAACGGTATTCGGAAATGAGAGTTTTAATTTTTCATAATATCAAAACAGGATTAGTGATGTTTATTATTATTATTATTATTATTATTTTCATAGGAAGAAAAGATGTTTTCTATTGTTCAAGAACTGATGAAAACACGACGAGAATTACGAGAAGTCAAAGAGCAACTTCGTGCTGTAAGTTATCCTTAGCAACTATTGCTTTCCTCTTATCGAATCTCTTTTATTTTTCTTAAGTTTCAAATAAGTGACACTATAGCATTATCTAATAATAGAACTATTCCAGTGAAGACTATCAGTTTATTTGTTCAATATAATGGATTTTTCAATCAACTATGTGACATTCCTCACACAATGACTGTTGGAGAATTATTGGTACGTGCTCAAAACTTATTGTTTTTTTGTTTTCTTAAAAAATAATTTAAAATAGGCCAAACTTCGGCAATTAACTGGAATTCCATTTGATCGTCCAATACGCATCCGAGTATTAAGTGAAGATGGTTTAACAACAGTCTTTGTACTTTATAAAGAACTTAATCGAACATTAGAATCATATAATGATTTTTTAAAAGCTCGAATGATTTTAAGTATTGAAGATAATGATGTTGATAATGATGAAGAACAATATTTAGAACGATCTTCAAGTACAACTAGTAGTGAACGAACTTATTCATTTGACGAATCTGATGTGTAACAAAGAAAACGAAAAAACTATGATTTTCATTGTATGCATCTGTTTTTTTTTTGTTCATTTCTATACATCGAAATATGCTGGTACATATTCTGAATTGTTTGTATGATCAAATTTCTTAAATAAAATAAATGCAAAAAATGGAAAACAATAACTTTTTTCATTTTCTGAATATTTGTTTTTGCTAGTCTTCAAATACGATTTCAATGCTTCAATGTATTCGTCAAAAAAGAAAGGAATATTCTAAAACTTAGAACGTACTAAAAATCAAATGGGATTAGTATTGGTAACGGAAAAATTAACTATTAAAATACACGACAATGCCATGTTTTATTCTTCCTTTTATTGCCAAATCTATGTTCATGTGAATCCAATACTTAAAAATTTGAAACGAAAATTTGTCAGGATAATTATTGTAGACTATGAAATAAACCTTATTATTCACGAGAAATGCTCATCGGCTCATGAGCTATCATGTAATGTTATTGTTCACACGACGATGAATAGCAGGTCTCAGTTGAAATGTATTATAATATGTTAAAAAAGAAATGAAATCATCCTTCCTGAAAACATATTATCACAAAGAGAAATATCAGTTACTATCATGGCTAGAAACTGGAGCTTTCTTGAACTAGGATTTAATACTTCTTGACAGTTATATTTCATATTAGAAAAAAAAAAGGTCAAGCTACAGCAATGCCATTATCATTCTTAATGATATTGGCAGAACACGATTCCTAATAAAAACCATTAAAACATTATATTTTTGGTCTGATTCGAAATAGTCAAAGTTATATATATAGAGAATTGAAAAACAACGTTTAGAATAAATATAAATCATATATCAAGGTTACAGCTATATATATGAGTAAAAATATAAATCTTGTTTCGATTTTTATGTGTCGCAGCGGGCTCTAATTTTCTGGATTTTGAATGCTCTGTCATAAGAGCATCGAGTTTTGAAAAAAAAAACAGGATTAATCCCTAAAAGTACAATGAATTAGGATAATTTTTAAAAAATCAAGAAAATTAGGATTCACTGAGACATGTATTTTACACTATTCAATTTTCTCTATAATATCAGACAAATAACTAACAGCTATATAGAATGTCTTGACATAGCTATTCTTTCAAGTGGCTGATTTCATATTGATTCAAGATATATTTCAGAATACGCTGATTAACAAATGTTAAACAGAACGCATTGACATTACAATAGACATGAAGGTTTGAGATTCTTCATGGAAATAATTTTTATTTCTTATTACAGAAACAATGAACAAATAGACTGACTCTAGTTACACATCTTTTGAATAGTACACAAAAAGAAATTTTATTTTCCTAAACAAACGAAAAAACTTTTTTTTTGTTTCGTCATTATTAATTTTTCTGTGTTGGCATCATTTGTTGTGCTTCAATTGTTTTTATTGCTTCAGTATTTTCTGTTTTTGTAAAATGAAAATTTGTTCGATTGTTCAGATAAAAAATCGAATGTCTTCCAGCAATATATGACACAATGGATGAACTTAGACAAGCCAAAACAATTGATACAATCATTATACGTGCACTAATACCATTTATTATTGATTGGTGTGTATAAAGAACAATACCTATAAAAAGTAATAATGCACTGATAAATGTGATCAATGACGTTATATAAAAATATCGTTGAAAAACATCATGTAAATCTTTTAGAAATATGCTTATAGTTGCAAGCAATAAAAATATTGCACTAATTATTGTTACAAATATAGCCCAAATATAATCATTATAATTTAATATACATTGAAAACGATTACATTTGTAAAAGAGACCATGCCATTGAACTTCACCATCTGATGAATATTCATTAATTGTCCATGAACTAGAAAAAAGAAAAAAATGAATTGTTTTTTTTTTTCTAATGAAAACTGAATATTTATCTACTGACGGTGTACATAATGCAATACAAATGCAAACAAACGCAAATAGACAGAGAAATCCAGCAGCAATTGTTAAAATACGATCAAATTTCTTTTCATTTCGAACGACGGTCATCTTTCCTTCTTTTGAAAATACGTATATCAATGTTCTTTATGCAAGTATAAACGAATATTATATATAGCTGGTTCATTTTTCTTTATGTTCTTCAGAAGATAAAATGATGACCGATTGGATATTGAATAATACACGTCCGGAATGTTTGGTGTCACAATGAGCAAGAATGTCTTCGTCTATCATTAAAGTTGAAAAAATGGAAGCAAATAAATGAAAAGTTGATTGTCGGAATGAAAAAAAAAAAAAATTAATTGTTTCCTATTCGAGTATGAACAAATCTTGGAAAATTTAATACAATTTTCAATCACCTATAAAATGGATATTATCGTCTTCTTTCAAAATGAAATGGCTCCAATTCTCCAATGTTATTTCACTTCGTACCTTGAAAAAGAATACATTTGAAAAAAAATAATAGAGATACAGTTGAGTTTTGTTTTCATGATACTCTTAGATCAAGACTTACGGCTTCCTATGTTTTGAATCACTTCTGATTCTGGATAAATACACAACCAACTGACCGTGCTTAAGTTTTTATCAGAGCTGTGTTATCAAAAAATGATGAGAGCTACGTTCCACGAAAAAGTTTTGTCCGCTCGAGCTGAAATTTCTTTCTGAAGCTGTTCGGAAAAAATCTTGAGAAGCGTTTTCAAGCTTTTTAAAAAAATTTAGATCTTTAACTTTTAATTTAAAAAAAAAGCATAGGAAGCACCAGCTGAAAAAAGTGGTATTTGAGTTGATGCTTATTATATTTTACGAATTAAAAATCGAGAGATTGATATTTTTGAAAAATTTAAAAAAATGCTTTGAGGTTATGTCCCAAGTAGTATCTTTAGAAAAAAAATTTAGCCATTTTGGACAAAGTAAAGACCGAGGTCATAAGCAGACCCAAAGATTTCTTGTAGATGCCATCCTTTTCAATAATCTAGTCGTAGTAAAAGGCTGGGTTCAACAAGTTGTGCTCTCGCGGGGAACCAGCAGAGTCGAAGGACCCTTAAGCTGTTGGTTATATCACAAACAAGGTCTTATCCTTGTTTGTGTCAAAAGATATGGCAAAACAATTTGAATTGACATCTTAGCAGTTTGTAATAAATAAAATAAAGACAATGCATTAAAAGCTTTACGTTTTTGATATTCAACTTAATAAACAAAAATAATAGTTAAGACGATATATATATATATATATCAAAAATAAACTTTTTTAGAATTATGAAAAACAAAATATTCATTCAAATTAAACTTTTAAGTATTTAATAATAAAAATCATATCGATACTTTTCGGATAATAATATCAACATTTCTTTTGTAATCTTTCATTGATTGCTCATTTAACGTTTGACAATTGTCGTTTTTAATCCTTCTAGCTTAACGAGTACTTTAGTGAATGTCAAATGTGCTTCTGTAAAAAAAAAATAACTATGATTATGTCATTCTTTGCTTTTGTTCAATCTAATGAAAGAATGACAGTTTTTGTCCGTATTGTTGCATTGATAGAAATCTGTTTAATACAAACTGTCATTGCATTGAATAAGATTATCCTTTAGCTGTCCATCGTTTCGGATTGATAGAATTCATATGCATTATCGTTTGTTTGTTTATTCATGTTGATGTTGTATTTCTGTGATAATGATTTAATGAAAATCAGATTTGACATATGTATAAGACTTTGAATACAATTAAGTCAATATCAAGTTTATTCATAATTATAAAAATCTATATATATACGCAAATGAATTCTTTTCGAATACGATAGAAGTCTTTTGATGGAGATGAAACTTACAATAAATTACAATAATCTCATCATAAATTTCATTGCTTCTGCTACTAGTATTTTCTTTTCGAAGTAAAAAGAAAAGAAAACGAAATTCAAGTAATTGACAACGATGACTATGTTGAAAGATATATCAGCTTATACATATTTCGTTTTCTTCTTCAAATACATCCAATCTAAGCTTATGCATTCATTGTTAGTTCACGTATAGGTAGTATTTCTTTCCTTGTATATGTATGCGTACATCTTAAGATGATAGTCCATACCATATTTCTTATTTGGCAATGACTGAATGGTAGTTGGCAAGCTTGAATACACGCATCGAATTGTGTGTGTGTATGTGTATATTCGTCTACTCCTATCTGATTTTGTTTCTTCTTCTTTTCTTTTTTATTTGCTCAGACGCAAGTCTCTTCCCTTTTCTTCTTTACGTTTGTTCGGCAGCAGTGACGACGACCACTACCATCACTGATTGATTGTGAAATTTGTTGTATGTGTTCTGTTCTTACTACTCTCTCTCGCTTTCCTTCTCTTCTTCTTCTTTCTCTTTATACTCTCAAGTAGAATAACTAGCGATGCGCCAGTATGGACCTTCGAGTGTATGTTGATGGTGTTGCGCGCATCATCTGTGATTTGACCCGAACAACTACTGTTCATGATATCATTATTGCACTAGCACAATATAAAGGTAAAACTGGTCGATATTCATTAATCGAACGTGCACCTGATGGTACACAACGAACATTATCACCAAATGAATTTACACATGAACTTATTAATCATCCTGATTGGTCTTATATATTAAGACAAAATTCATCAAATTCAAATTCATCATATAATCAAAAACGTTCGAAAAGTTTAGATGGACGAAAGACACCTGTACAACAACAGTCAAACGTTGAGAGTATGTTGATATATTTTATTGCTTTATAGATATAGACAATGTGTGCATGTGCATATAAACGACCTTGGACGATAATGCGATTCAATAAGGCACCATATTTTTGAAACAGGACAGGCAAATACAATTGCATGTATACCTTTTTTTTTTCTTTACTCATTTCTAATCTTGAATATAAATGCCATAAATTTTCTTGAGATACACGATAGCAACTAAAAAAATGCTTGTATTTAGTTTTCTTTTTTTAATTTTGCTGTTCAAGACTGTCTATTATTCACCCACTTATCTCGGTCCAATGCATTATTTTCATGTAAAAGTTCAAAGCAACATTATTATTATGATCCATTGATACCCACTTTTTTTTTTCTTGTCGACAGAAGAGGTGGTACCATCAACATGTAATCATACGTGTACATACATATATATGTAGATCACTTAGCATCGAACAACATACATATAGAGTATTCTTTCATCGATTGAACAACACGCGCAAATACAAAATGCCTATGGCAGAAAGAGAAGAATGAAGTTAATATCGAGCACCTTAGGTCTAATCGGCTTGTTACTTGCGTGTCCACTATAAAGATTAGTATAGCATATAAGACTCATTGATGAACAGCTGTTGTCGCTATATTCATGTCGATCTAGGAATATCAAACAAAAAAAAAAATATGACGTAATGTACGTGACATATATATACATATATTCAAACTATTGCTAAAGTACTTGGTCGAACTTGCATTAGGCAAGATTAAGACGATATATATATGCAGTTCAAATTGCAAAGAAAAAGCTTCAGTTTTATTTCGTTATTCAAATAGAAACTATTTGATTACATCTTCTAATCAAAGATCAAAAAGAAAAAGAAAACTAATTGTATGAAAACTTCATCTTTTTTTTTTCTTGTCTTTTAAATTAATCAAAAAAGTCACTGACTAACAACAACAATAACTATGTACACAATCTACCTTGACACATATTCTAACATGTATAGCCGATAGTTGTTCATACATACATAGATACATACGTATAAAGTAAAGTTCATCTTTGCGCATGTGGAAACAAGAAGAAAATGATAGTGACAGTAGAGAAGGTTAATGATGTAGGATGACGAAAGTAAATAATCATATAAAATGAACATAGATCAAATATATAGAACAATATCTTACTTTTTCAAGGAATACTAAATCATCTGCATCTTATTTTAGCACCTTCAGCTGTTACCTCATCATCCTCATCATCAACAAATTCAACATCTGGTCATTTTCGAACAGTAAATAATAATAATCATGTCTTTGCAACATTATCATCGTCATCATCAATAAAATCTTCAGAAAAAAAGAAACGTTCACATTTACGTCATATATTTCCATTAGCTAATGTAAATACTAACAATAATAATAATAATAATATAAATCCAAATGAATATTCATCACCAATATCATTTATTATTGAACAAAAACGCTCATCACGTGCACCTATTCAAATAATTGAACAAGATTTCGGTATATTAGATAATCATCATATTAATCGTCGTTCAAGAACAAAATCTGCTTTACCACCATCATCTGTTAATGAAAATAGTGCATTTCATATTGTTCATAATCCAATTAATAATCATACAAATTTACAACAGCAACAACAACAACAACAATATATAGCTTTATTAAGAATGCTTAAATCCCAAGAAATTCAAGTTGAACAACAACAACAAGAATTAATTGAAAAACAAAAAGGTTCGAAAGAAAGAAACAAATATATATATGTAAATGTATTTCATAAATTTTTTTTTTGACTTTTAGAAATTGATCATCGAGAAAAAAATATTCATCAAAAAGATTTTGCGAATCAATATCATTTACTTAAAGAACATGATTATCGTCTTACATCAGAATGTCAAATGTATACAGAAGAATATTGTGTAAATGAATTAGATAAAGAATTAGAAATTGAAAAAAAATTACATTTAAATTATGAACATTTACAACAACAATTAACTCGTTGTTCAACAACATTAGAACAAAAACGACAATTACAAGAACAAATTCAATTAAATGTTGAAAAAACACATGAAGATATTGAACAAATACAATCAAATATTAATAATGATAAAAAGGTTTGAATTAAATCATTGATGAAAATCACAATTTTTTTCCGAAAATTAAATAGAAGAAAAAATAACATTAGTATGACAGTATTTCTTTTTTAATATACAGCAAGGTGCATGTCAGTCATTATATTCTTCAGTGAAATTCGATAATTTGAATTTCGATGATCATACCTATCGGCGATATTATGAGATGATACCAACATTATATATAAATATATGAATATTCACAAAGAGTGAACGTAAGAAATGATCTTCGAAACGAAACTCACGAATATAGATGAACGAAAAGGTTTCGGCGATGAGGTACACAATCGATGACAACTAAGATAAATCTTTATAAGTTTATGGTTAGAAGATAGATATAGTTTCTTTTGTAGAAATGGCACATCTTCGATCTTATCTGTACGAGAGATAAACTCATTTCTCTCTGGTGTTCATCCTTTCTTATCGCCTCATCTATCTTTCATCATCATCAGCTTCTGTATGTACAACAGTACTATATTATATACATTCGTTTATGGATTCACACAGCGTCTAATATTATCTTAATTATCTGCTAACTTCGTGTTTATAGTTAGATAATCTTATGTTCATCTTATTATTTATTTTGATTGCATGAATTTTCAATTTGAGAAAGATTTCAAATTAAGTCTATGTATCAAATTATTGTTTTTATATAAGAATCGACTTAGTCTCATTAGGTTTAAGATTGTTCATCCTATGAAATTCTTCTCTAAAGAAAGACTGATAAATACTTTCTCTATTGATGTATATTTTACAGGATATAAGTCAATATCAACATGAATTAGAACGTTCAAATGCTACACTTAATCAACAAGAAGAATTAGCACGTATATTAACTCAACGTAATGATGAAATTGAACGAATTCTTCAACAACGTCGACAACAAATAAATGAACTTGAAAGTGAATTAATTAAATTAGAAGATTCAGTTATTAATAGTAAGTCTAATAATTGAATACATAATTTTCTAGTTAAATATTTCCTATATGACTTTTAGCTAATTTATAAATACAGCTTAGACGAGGTTTGTTTTCTTTTTTTTTTGTTAAGCTTTAAAATTTTCATCAATCACATTGAGCACATATCACATAAATACGCCTATATAATTTATTTAATCTTTAAGACTAATTTTATTCTTTTTATTATTTTAAGGTCTTATTCATCCTAATTATAATATCCGTCCAAATTCAACTACTCCACAACATTATAATTCATTACCATCGACAAATTCACTATTATCATCATCAACAGGTACAACCACAGATGCTCTTATGCCTATTCGTCTTCAATTAGTGAATAGTACTTTATGGAAATTATGTCCAAGTGGGATATGGGTTTAGAAAAACAAATCTTTTTATTATATGTATCAGTTATTTTTTTAAGTTATTTGAAATGAATAAAGAAATATTCAACTGTTTTAGTATCAAATATGCTGAATAATTTAATCGAGAAAGTTAGAAATGCTGACAGTTTTATCTATATATATATATATTGATATACAGCATGATAAAGTAATAAAAAGGTGCAAATGTGTTAATGAGGATATAATACTAAGAAAACTAATACTAAGAAACAATTAATAATGATGTCAAACAAGATATTTCTAACAAGGATATAATACTATTTATCTTGAATAGACTTCGATAGTGTCGTAATTAATCATGTAAATATCTATCTACTTAGGGCAATCAAAAAGTAGTGATAGTAGCACTTCAGTATTGTAAAGAAACCTTGAGGCAACTTTCTCTCTGCATGTATCAATAGTAAAAACAATGCTTTATATTTCTGCTATATTCTATTATTCTTCAATTAATATAATAGTATCGAAATTTCGATCAGAACTATCGTTAGGATAAGTGACTATTACTCTAATGGTCATTTCAAAGAAAAGGAGCTATCTGAGAATTTTATTGAATCACTTTTCATATAAACCAGATAGAGAGAGAAAAGATAAAGATGTAACGAATAATACGATATGAATTTATGAAGTAACATTTTTAAAATGTCCAATCATTTTTTGAGTCGATGCTATGTGCATCATGTGTGTTGTGATGAGCTATGAATACCTTGAAAAGAGTTCTGACTAATAGCTTATTACAGCCGAAATACTGTAATTTTTAGCAGAATACAATGGTTCCCGCCAGAAACATCAGGGAAACTGAGTTTCGAATTTCGATTCGACATGTCGCATGGAGACACATCTGAATGAGAATAGCTTATTGTGAAAGATTTTTATTACGTCTAGTCTAAAGTAAGAATATTGGAATTTACCATTGTATACGAACAGTGTTTAAAACATGCTGTCATCATAGCCTTGTCTTAGGATAGAATCAATCAAACGATCTGAAACTTTTACACTAAATTATTCTCATTAAGGTATTCCTCTATGTAAAATTTCAAAGTGGAATTTGAAACTCAGTTTTCCTGGTATCTCTGAGAGAAACTACACCATTCCATTAAAAAATACAGTATCTCGGCAGTAATAAGTCATTATTGGATTAGTTTTATCTTTAGAAAAGACGATTGAAGATCTTTAAAAGAAATTTGTCATACATGATTCAATGAGTTTTATCTCATTTTTCTAAAAGTGAAAATCAAAGCTCTATATCTTATTTCTCTTAAAAGTTATTCAAAAACATATTAAACTGTCTCTGTTTCTTTAAAATGAGTATTACTGATATAGTTACTTATCATAACAACTGACTCTTATCAATATTTTATTACTATGATACTTGTTGAAGAATGACGAAGTATTACAGAAATATAAAGCATTATTTTTACTCTCAGTGCATTCAAAACGAAAGTTTCTTCACAGTATTAGAAAATTACTGCTACTAATTTTGACTTTCCCTAAATATTATGCATTTGTAGTCTTGAATAGATTACATTGTATCTTTGAAACTATGACACCAAAAGTTTGATCATGCAAACGATATATCTCGTTACTCAAAAACAAAAACAATCAAAGTATCATTTATTCTGTCAATTATACATATTTAAAAATTAATTCGAGAATTTTTTCAATATCTGACTAGCATTAAAATTCATTATATTAATTATATAATTCAATTGTTGATTCTTTGTAAAACAATTATTTTCTATTTGTCGGAAAAAAGTTTTTCTTTTTGTATTACTTCTTTGGTTCAATTTATTTCTATAGAAGTAAAAAACACCAAGTTAAAATGTTTCATGGTTGTGAGGTATATTGAGTAAAACTCGATTCCAATTTTGCTTCTTACCATACGTTTGCAGCATGTGACAGTGCATGACGTCTTTTCATCATAATGGCGTGATGTGAACGAGAACTTTTTTTCTTTTCTTTTTATTTCTAAAAGAATTCTTCAAGTACAAAAAATGATATTGTTGTATGAATAGAGAAATTGTAACAGAACAACATCATAGTATATATTCATTTTTATTTGTAGGTGAACAATTACATTCTGAATTTTTCAAACGTATTGATATAACCAGTTGTAAGATTTAGATCATTTTCAATAAAATTACAAAAAAAAAGCATGACTGCAAGACGTATTGCTGATGCACGACCATGGAAAGGTATGTAAGAATATCTCATGTTATAATATAAATTATTTAAATTTTTAGAGGAAATTTTCGGTTGTTGTTCGGATGTAAATATATGTTGTTATGGTTGTTTTTGTACAGCTTGTTTATTTGGTGAAAATGTTCATACAGTTAATCCAGATGCTGGATTTTGCAGTGCTTGTTGTTGTTATTGTTTGACAGAAGCAGGTTGTTGTTGTCTTGTACATAAACCAGCACGAATACGTTTTCGTGAAGCATATGGATTAGAAGAAGGTCATGGATTGTCTGGTGATTTATGTGCATCATGGTGTTGTTCACTTTGTGGTGTTTGTCAAGAAGCACGTGAAATCAAAATTCGAGGTACAATATTAATTAATTAATTATACAAATCTATGTTCTATTTATTGATAATAGGTAATCCAGAAACAGCAGTAATTGGCGGTCTTCCAGGTGCTCCTATTTCAACAACTGGAAATCAATCAAGAACAACATTGCCAGCTACAGGTGCTCTAGTCACTCAACCACGATAGATTTTGAACGATAATCATCTTATATTGTTTTTTTAATCAGGCATAAATTTTATTAATTTTTTTCAAACTTTTCTTTTTTTACAATTTTAAAATATATCAACGGATAAATAAAAAAGAAAGCGGTTCATATTTACTGAATACTTAGGTATTTTATAACAACTTATGCTAACGAATGTTTTTAAAATGATTTGATAAGAATTCTGAAGTATCTTTATTTATTTGTAATGTTAGTCATCGAATGGCAGTACATAACTACGTATTCATACTAACGTAAACATTAGCTTTTATACTTGTTCAATTGTCATTTTTCGTTCTAAACCATTTACATTCATTTCTAATAATACGATTGAAGTCCACTATTCTTTCTTTTTTTTTGTCAGTGATACCATAGAGAAATAATTTCACCCATAACAATCATATTGTCAAATCTAGTTGATTGATCATTTTCAATAAATTTACATAGAGACTTATTTAAATGAATAATAGACTTATGAAGTCAATTCTTACTCTGAAATAGCTGTTATAATTTCTCTGTTCAACAATACACATCGAATATTTAAAACAAAATACAGAAAAGTATTTATTATTTTATGAAATACAATCTAAAAGGAATGTTGAAGTATGAGGAGAGATATTTGTACCCCATTCTTACAAACACGTTAGCAACGATTGATCACAGACGTGAAGGATATTCTTAGCAACGTTCATCCCATGCATCACAAATCATATATTAATAACCTCTCATTATAATATATGAACTACTTCCTTATTGTACTTCGTGAAGATTAAGTAACAGCATGGTGACGAAATGTAACTCAACATAGATATAATAAAAACAACCTTCCTGTGATGGGCAACAGCAACTATATTTTATTGCATATTTTAATTCGACAGAGATTATGCTTACAACTTTTGATATGATGGTTCGGCAACCTCAGAGCATTTAATGCATAGAAAAAAAAAATAGAATTAATGAAGTTTTCATTCTAATTATTTATGTAGTCGAAATTCAGATCATATGGATGTCTTTATAGTAGTTTAACAGTATAATAAATCATTCTTTTTTGCACTTATACTTAACCAGAATTCAATTCAAATACATTTACACTTTCAACTCAATACAATAAGATATTAGCCTTCTAGCAAAGAAATCATGTTTTTATTTATACGTAGATAATATTTAAAATAGATATAAGAATATGGATATTGTTAACCGTTTCTTTCGCATTGATACCTTATATTAGCCCTAGATAAAATATTTTACATAGAAAATGAATAATAATTTTATTGAATTATTTTAAGGCTCGATACAAATCATATTATTTCATTCTAAAACATATTTATACAACTAATAGTTTATTAAGTTAAATAAAAATTAAAAAATAAAATTAATAATTCTATTTATTCTAATATATAATTCATATTCAATTTAACTTAAAAATAACATTTCAATACACCGAGTATAATTGAACATATATTTATATTCCAACTGCTTCGCAACTTAATTTCCACAAATGATTAGCCAATGTATGATTTGTACATAGAGATGAAACTGTTTCAATAGCACAATCTCTACAAAGTTTCAAATAAATTATTCTAATTAGTATGTCTAGTCAAATTCTTACTCAAAATAGAAGTCACGAGAATGTCGTAAAGATGGTTCAACAGCACAAAAAATACTTGTTCGTGTGCCTGTCTTCGGTGTTTTAGCTAAGATAAATTTAAGTATATACAATATCGGATAACAAATCATAAATGGAATAAATCCAATGGCGTCTTGCATTGGTGATTGAATTGATGTCCATACCCAACTAGAATTGACTGCTAAAACAACAACATCATCTATTACATTAATATATAAACATAGAGAACAAACAATTAGAAAAAAAAAACTATATATTAATGTACTCGAATCTAGATCATATCTGAGTTTATAGGTAAATAATAGCATAAATGCTTTTGATACTGGATAAGCACCCCATAAACGAAAATTCTTAAATTGTGTAAATCCATCTGACCAATCAATTGATCGAACAGCTAGAAAAAATTTAAATATCATTTCAAACATTTTAGCAATGATTATCTAAAGAAATCTTGTATAGAAATAAGTTCAATATTCCAGTATTATTACATCTGTAAGTTATCATATAGCTATTGTTTTTAAATAATTTATTCATTTGATAAATTGATATTATCTCGAATACATTATTAACTTCTATGTGAACCAGATGCAACAGTAATAATTCGACTTGGTTGACATTGTTTTTATTTATTCAAAAGAAGGTTTGTTAGGAAAAAATGACTAAGATAATTTACTTGTATAACTGTATTGAAACCATTTTTAGTAAGAAGATCTGGTGCTCAAGCAATACCAGCATTACAAATTAGAACATCAAGTCGTTTTTCTTCTTCAATATAAAATTGAGCAAACTTTCGAACAGATTCAAAAGAACGTAAATCACATTCCATTAATCGAATATTTTTCACATAACATCCAGTTTCAAAACTAAGTTGTTTCATTGCTTGATTACCTTTTTCTATATTGTAATCAGTAAGTATCACACGTGCACCTATATAACACTTAAATTATCGTATCATTCAAAAGTATATATTGTGATCCAACCTCGTTGAAGCAGATCTTTAGGTGTTTCATAGCCAATACCACTAACACCACCAGTAATAAGAACAGTTTTACCATTTATCGAGCATTTACTTGAAAAGAATGGTCGATTAACTCGAAATTTATTATAAATCCATGAGATAATTACTAAACAGATATTGAATAGTAACAGAATTTATATGAGAATAGAAGAAAAACGTCTATCACCTAGTCCAGATAGAATTGAAATACTCATACGATATTGATCAAAGAATTGATAAGCTATTGAGAAGATTTTATCAATAGTGTTCATGATCGTCATTATTTTAGTTTCTAAGATATGATAATGGCATGTTTTTAAATAATTTGATCTTTAATTAAAAGTAGAAATAAATACTAAATTGTTACATATAAAGCAATTTATATAGAAACATTTTTTTTTTTCATTCACTACTTTTCATTTCGATTTATGCTCATATTTATATGAAATATCAAACTTTTTTTGAAACTCATTTTGAGAAAAGAAATAAACTCATATAGTATTACAACATTGATCGAAGAATTAATAAATTGACAAAAAAAAACAATTTCACCAAAATAATGGAACCATAGTAGCCTAGTATTCTGGTAATACAGCATGCTTTTGAAAGCATCGTTGTTTCTTTTTGTGCTCAAGTGCAACTCATTGTTATCAATCTTATTACTCTTTCTGTTGAGCTTTCAACATCGTTTAAGGTAAAACAACGATAAACAACATCCAATTGTTCTTTACGTATTTTAAAACAAAAAACTAACATCCGAATATCATGTCATACACACAACAACAAAAAAACACTTAAAAAAAAACGTTTCATTTTCAAAATAAGAAAATAAATATCTTTTTTCTTCATTTATCACAGTTGTAGACTTACTAAAAACAATAATGAATTCTAGGACATCATCTAAAGATTGTTATCTTTAATTTATTGCAGAATATTCTTTTATCTTGTTTGGTAATTTATTTCGTACGTCTATTTTTCTCGTTATAGTAATGGACTGACAGAATTTATCTATGTAATTATATTAGTTAATTAGAAACCTGCTTTTGCTGCTACTTGTATTGATTCAGTTGCTCTAATTCTTAAGCATATATCATCCAAGGATGTCAAGATTAGATATAGAATGCATAAGAAAATTTCTCACAGAGCTTGCTAGTTTTACTGGGTAATAACGAATAATTTTCAATTATTATGGGATGTATGTCGTCCACATATGTTCCTGCTTATCATCAAGAAATTCATCAGAATATTTCTTTACCAAACATTTTAGACATATACTATTGATAAAAATTTATCTATCAATAGTTATTGTATTGCAAAAATATTCTTAATTCGAATCTTAAACTAAAGTAGAAAAATTTCAATTCGATATTTATTTTTAATGTGTGAGTGTATAAATGTTAGAAAAGCTGCCACAGAATGCTTACAAACACAAACACACACACACCATATACATCATTCATCAACCTCTATAATACAAATAAAGAAACAAAAAGAAAATGGCCACTTCTATCTGAGAAAAAAAAAAGAGATTCTATATACAAAAATCATCATCTCTAGTCGTGGGCTGGTTACTCTTTTTTTCTTTTTAGGAAAATAAAAAGGAATTAAACATAGATAATAGTAGGAGGACCAGTAATCATATGAATTTGGGGATGAGACAATTGTTGTTGATGAGATTCATCATTGTCACTACTAATTATTTCATGTTCTTCTTCTTCATCATCATTACTACTACATGCACTACATTGTAACATAGCATCATCTTCAGTCCATGTAGTTGGTTCAAGTTCATTATTTGATGAACTTGTACCTATTGTTGTTGTATTTGTTTCAATCATTGAATATGTTGATGTTTGTTCATGTGATTGTAATGGAATACTTTTTGATGATGATAAACTTTGTTTTGGATTATTAGTATTAATACTATTATCATGATGATTATCATTTGATGTTGACATTAAATCATATTTAACATATGAAAACATATTTGATGGTCTAGAATTAATTATAGTTGAATGATGAGAAATTGTAGGTGAACGATGATGAATTGTTGTTAATTGATTAGAAGCTGATAGAGATCTATGTCGTCCATGTAATAATATGAAAATAAGAGTTAATATAACAAAAATAAGAATAAGGATTAATACGGAAAATATAATAACGATTGTCACACCTAAACGTGATTGAGATATAGGAACTAAAATATGAAGAAAAATAAAACATAAGTGAAAATTTTAATTTTCTCTTTCAAAGAAGCGTTTTAAAGTTTTGAAAGGGTAGACATCTATTTTGGAGATCATAGATACATAGTGCAATAACCATAAACTCTGCAAGGACTAATACGATCTTCGGAGGATCAGTCCAACAATATGTAAGACATTGACTGACTTTTATCATCTTGTGTTGAGTAACATTTTGTCTAAATGTTTATTTGAATGATTCTATTATGTTGTTCTTCACTCGTGAGTAGGTTTCTTAGTTTTCAAGAGTTACTGAGCAAACTAAGAATGCATATTATCATAAGAAAAACTGTTAGCACAATCTCTATGGAATTACAATGTAAAACATCATGTAGTTGCTGCTGCCAATCATAGGGAGACGGTTAAGTCTGTCTATTTTGGGATATATTTCTTCCCCAATCTTTGGTTTAATCTCTCAGAAATACAAATAGAAAATAGGTCATATGTTATTACGAGACACTATTCATATACGATCTTTGATCGTATATGAACAATGTCTATCATAGTCTGTGACCAAAAGAGAAAGGCAAGACTCTATCCTATATATTTCATCAATTCTCTTAGATCGTATTTCACAAAACAAAACTTGATGTCTTGATATGATTCAATTTATCCAGTAGTGCTTAAGATTTGAATATAAATCTTATTGTAAATACATACGTTTGCCTTGATCATGAATAAAAGGTAATTGATCGCGACAAATAGGACAGCAGTGACCTGATAATGTAACTGTATGTATACAGGTCAATGAAGGACATTGATGTTGATGACATACAATTGTACCATATAAACATTCACAACGATGACATTCACTTACCTAAGAAATAAATTTACATGAAATACTTTTAAAAAGAAAAAAAAATTTTTCTTTCTTTAAACTAACATTCCAATGTTCACCCGAACGATATTGAATATAATTAAAAATACAAACAGCAACAGCAGCTGTTGGTGGAAGACAAAATGGACAACATTGACCTTTTTTAAGTACTGGATTTGAACATGGTAAATTTTGATCACATGTTTGAGAAAAACATTCTATTTTTCCACCATTATTACGTGGACAAATACATGATTGACAATCATCATGTTTCCATAATTCTCCTGCATATTTTATTAGCCCATTATCAAGTATACAAATATCTTCATCTGTATTTGATAAATGATCTGTTGGTAATGAATCTGGTTTTTGAGATGGTGGACATATTGGACAACATAAAGATGAATCATATATTGGTGATGAACAACGTAATGGAGGACATAATGGTACACTACAAAATGCAATGTTATGTAAACATACACATTTTGTACATGTATCAAACTCCAGTTCTTCACCAGTAACATATTGACTGGCATAACATACTTGAGATGATGGAATAGGTTCCGGTAATATAGGAATTTCTTTTAAAAAAGAAAAATGAAATAGATTTTTTTTAAAAAAAGGAAAGAAAGATAATCTTACCTGGACATGTAGGACAACATCGATTTGGTAAACGAATTGGTTGTGAACATTTAGGAGTTGGACATGATATAAGTGCACATAATGGTTCACCTTTATGACATAAACATTGACGACAACCATCAAACCATATTTCACCATTTGAATAAGAAAATGAACCTGAATAACATAATTTTGGCCATGATGGTTTTAAAAGATCAGTAGTTTTTGTATTATTTTCCTTTTTTATATTACTTTTACAAACACATATGGGACAACCAACTTCATTTCGTTTTAAACCATAAGTACAATTTTTTGTACATGTTAATAATGGACATGGATTACATTCACATGTTGGACAACCAGTTTTTTTATCAATTGAATAATTATATGGACAATGTTTATCACAATTTAATTGTCCACAATTAAGACCATTTGGTGATATACATGAACAATATTGTTTTGATGATCGATCAAATTTAAGTGTACATAATGGTGATGGACATGACATGGTTGAACAAGCACATTGTAAACAACCTTGTTCATCTTTAGCTAAACCATGTTCACATACTAATAAACATTTATCAAGTCGAGGACATTTATCAGTTGTTGGTTGTATTTGTGGAGAAATACTTGCATCAATTTCATGAGAATAGTCAATATCATTGTCAGGATCATCACATACGGGACAACAAACATTTGCTATTTGACGGGGATTTTCACAAGGTGGTGCTATACATCCTTCAGCAATACAACGTGATCGACCATTTTCACACCAACATCGCATACAACCATTTGATTCAATCCAAGTTGAATTCATATGTTGAACATGTAAACGATCATTTAAACAACCTATATAAATCAAAAGAACAATAAGATAATGTTTTAACTACAGAACTAGTTATATGTAGACATGTAGCAAAAGCTTCATTGATCTAATGATGTATACAGTATCAAGTTTTACTTGACATGACAAGAGACGGTGCTACTTCATTGTATTCTAGTATGCATGTCATCTTTCGACAGGTCAGTAGAATATAGTAGAACTTGATAATGTATATCTTCTGAAAAAAAAAGACTAACTAAATAACTAACCTCCACATTTAGGACAACATTCATTTTCTGGTTTATACATATATCCACAATGTGTATAAATAGGACATTGTATCATAGCACATTCAACAAGTCCAGCACGACAAGTACATGTTGTACAATGATCAATAGACCATGTTTCATTTTCATTATAAATTTTTTTATCATGATAACATTGTTTCGAGTCTAGATTTAATAGAAAGAAAAAATAATTTTTTTTTTATTATTATTGTCTAGATTCCCCTGTGGCTCACCTACTCTGAAAACATTTAAATTGATCACAACATTGTCCGGGAATATCTTGATTGCCTGTACGATATATTTGAATAATTGAATTTTCTCCACATATTGTTTTTGGACATGTTGAACAAACACAATGACCTCGAGATTTACAACATAATAATGAAAGATTTGTTGATGAATATAATGATTTTCGTAAAAGAGGAGTATGATCTTCAATAAATTGACTATCAGCTGGACATATCGATGAATTGGTATGTGTTATATTGCAAACAATGTTTGAACAATCAATGATATCATTAACTAAAACGAAAAGATAGAAACAAAAATAATAGAATTGTGTATATATTTCGAATAATAATAATTTAAAAATAATCACTAAATCCTGCAATAGTTATTACTTATAGTATCATGTTTCAAGTTCTTTACAATCGGTAATGTTTTATCAGCTTTGTATTTTTTTTTAAATTTTAAATCGATATTCGTTTTGAGAAACAAACTCCGTATCAATTAAACAACTATTTTCTTTTGAAAGCATCATTCGATAGACAATTTAATTAATTGTTTTAAGTAGAAGTCGACTTTCAATTGTTTCAATTGTTTATTTTAATTCATTTTCATGATCAAACTCACTAAAAACTTGTTTTTTCTCTTTTTCATACCTTTCAAGGACATATTTATGTTTTCATTTACGTTTTGTAATTTTTGAAAAATAAATATACTTATGCAAGTAAAAATAAAATTTTCGCTTAAGTAAACAAGATAATAGAAGCCGAAAATCAAGTATATAACCTTGTAGGAAATCATAGAAAAACCATACCTGAGATATATAAGATCTGACAGGAATATCACACAAGAATCATACAAGTACATTTTATCAGTAGAAGTGGCTTTATGATTGACATTTAAAATCGTACAATTTTATAATCGATTTTTATACGATCTTGTATGATAATCAAAGATTAAAAAGTTAATTCAATCTTTTAATTCATGTCCTTCTCGATGTGATGTCTTGATATGAGTCTACATTAAATATGACAATGTTTCTTGATATTTAACATTTAATATATTCTATGAAATTTTTGATCAATAGAAAATATCCTGCAAGTTAAAATTGTTGGCAAGTTTCGTTTAAGTTCATTTCATTTTAATTTTATCTGTTATTGATTTTCGAATAAGAAATAATGAATGTTTACTTAAAAAATTACAATTAACTAACCTTGACTTTAAGTTAACATTGCGTATATTCTATAAAACTAATACAGAGTAAAAAAGATCTAATTTGAATCGATCAGATTAAATTTACATTCAATATTGAGAAAAATGCTAGCTGATTTATGGCAAAATATCGAACAAAAGAAAAAAATCTCAGTAATCATGATATTGCATATCTTTATTTGCTTAAATTTTCAATTTAGCAATATCATTACTTCTAAATCCTCAATATAAATTACTATATAATAAAAGTGATCACATAAAATCGATTGATTCCATTCAAAAAAGAAAACAAAAATAGTCAATGACTTTTTCTCCTTTAGTTTTCATTTTCATTACCATGATTTTTCATGGTATTTGTAGTCAAATGATTGGACCAAAACCAACAACACCTACACCAATACCAACATGTCCATCAATAGATGAAATTACATCGACTATGGAAAAATTATTTGATGCACAAACAAAAATTTTACTATCAAAATTAGCTGATATGGAAGCACGTTTAAATGATTTAACATCATGTAAACCTATGGCACCTAGTGAACTTTTTATGGGTATTTATGAAAATTTAACTATATTCGATGATTGGATATTACTTTACAATGAACCTTATAATCATAATACAACAAGTAAAGAATTAAAACAAGTAGCAAATAAATGTAATAGTAATCGTATTGTTGTTGGAGCAATACAAAATGAAAATTCATCTATATTGAGTGTTGCTGCTGTTGGTCCAACACGTGTACTTCATCTTAATACAAAAGTTGAAGATCCTGAAGAAATTGAAAATGTCCTCTGGTATTTAGAATCTGGACGAAGTTTTGGTTTTCGACCTATTGAAAATGATCCAAATGAACCACCAAGATCAGAACTTTTCTTAAGTTGGGCTATTGATGTTAACTATGGTGGTTGGCGTGCTGGTAAAGCTACAAATCTTTATCAAAATTCAACATGGCATAAAGTTATTTATTGTATGCCAACATTTTAAGCAGAAATAAAAGTATCCTTTTTTTAAAACGAAAAAAAAAGCAAATAATGATGTAATCATCATATCAGAATAGGTCAAAAGAAATAATGAAGATATCAAATCCCATAGGAGAAGAATTTCGTTTTCTTTTTTTTCATATCATATACTCAAGACAGAGTTCAAGACAAATGTGTAGCTGTTATGCGTGTGTTTATTTTCATAGCTTATCTTACATTATGCTTTAAGCAACAAAGACAAAAAAAAAGAGAAGAATGATACAGTTCTCAGATGATTTGCTTATATATTCATATGCGTTGTCATAGAAAAGAAGTTACAATCAGTTCTGTTTTATGACAGATATCAAAATAGAAAATGACATCGACGTTATTTTATTTCTCTGTTCCGTTTATCTTTTTCTTGTTGCAATAATCTCAGTGTTTTATGAAATAAATTCGACATATGTATGCAAACTTAACTATCAAAAGGTCATAGTCAAACTTGCTGATTTTGATCAATGCCATATGCCTTTTCTCTTCTTGTTTCTTCATTATTTTGTCTAGTCATTCAAACTATACACGTCCATTGAATTAACAAAATCTGATAACTGATTAGCTTAGCTTGACACTGATGACCTTTCTTCGTTACTCAAACCAATTGCAAAGACATCAGTAATATGCTCTGTATGTTATCTCAAAACAAGATAGCAGAATATATTTATATCCGTCAGTTGTTCAATTAATCGATAATAATTTCTCTCGATATAACAGTGATAGGGACAGATGTTTGACCTTTTTTGTTTGTCAATCAGAATAGATGAATAAATAGTTCGTTATACATGCATAAACGATTCATCGAGCCATTCAAGGATAAACATGTCATGTTTACTTTAACTACTACCTAACTCTAATAAAGCTTATCGATACTATTCGATTAGAAACAAGGAGAAAGATCTATGCATGCTAATGTAGCAAAAAGAAAAATGTATGAATATATAAATGATGATGATCGATCAAAAGACAACATCAATATAATGATAAATTACTGTGAAATGATAGAGTTAAGCTTACCATCATTTGTCTTCAACAAACTTAATTCTTGTTCTTGTTCTGTTGGTGATTGTTGTACACAATAATGATCGGTCTTATTATCATTATACGTATTTTGAAGCAAATTAGCATTACAAGGTAAACGTCGATTAGCACATTCACATGATGTTTTATTATTAATTTTAATAAGTAAACATTGAAATTTCAAACATGCTAAAGAAAAAAAGAAGAAAACGAAGATATGTTAACAAATATGGAAGTTTTAGTTTTTTGTTCTTACCTTTAACACATGTACCAGTTTGTTCAGTAAGATTATTTGAAGTTTTATTCGGTTTATAACATAATAAATCTTGTTCACATAAACCATAAACATTAAGACGACCACCACATATTTGATTTTCACTACGAAGACATACTGTACAGCAATTACATTGGTCACGTATCAATTGAGTACACTCTTTATTAATTGATTTATATTTTAAACAATAGTCCATAGAACATGGCTCTTGACATTCACTTTGATTAGCTGCTGCTGTTATTGTTGTTGTTGTTGATGATGATGATAATGGAATTGGTACAACAAATAAATCAGAATTTTCTTTAGATTTTTCAATACTAATTGTCGATGATTGTAATTGTTGATTAGTATTTGTTATATTTGTTGTAATAGCAGCCAAAATGAATGTCGAAAGCAGAATAATAATGAGCAGAAAACGCCCGATGAGCATTACTGCTCAAATCTTATGTTCATAGTCTTATTCACTAGCAATGGATGAATGACGAGAAGGGAAAATATTGATGATATAAATAACGACTAGTATGAGTGATGGTGCTGTGGAACATCATCAGTGTTGTTGGCTTGTTTGTCGACACCATTAAGCCGCTCCAGTTAAGGTCGACCTGAAATAGAGAGAGAAAAAAGAGAAAGTATATGTGTGTGGAATATAGAACAAACAAGAAAGAAAGGAAATATGTACTGTAAATAGAAAGACGAAAGAAGAGAAGATGAAAAATGTGAATAACGAGAACAACATGAGAGATTTTATTCTCAATCCTTTTTTTTTTTTTTTGTTCAAAATGCATTATTACCTTGGAGATCAATTGACTTTCAAAGATACTTAACTATCAAGGTTATGTCAATTACTTTAAAGCGAATCTTACTTTTTTCTTTACGTTTTAAATCTAAAACTTTTGAACATGTTAAGAACAGATAAAAAAAATAATATCTGAGATTGACTACAAAGGAATAAAACCTTATGTAAAATAATCAATTCTTTTCTTTTTTCATGTGAAGCAAATGAAAATAATACTTTACATTCTATTTCAATTTTCACACAGGTCTTCCCATCGATTAATAGAACAATTTAATAATGCTCTAAACTATTCAACATAATATTTAGTTTCAACATATAGTTTTCTTTTAGATATGTTTCTCTTTAATTTTCAGTAAAAAAATTTTCTTTTAATACTATGATCAAAGTTCGAATTTCTATGGCTTTAATCTATAACATTGATGGCATTGTCAATGTTGTTAAGTCTTTACACTATTCAACGATGAAGTCATATATATGTATATTCTTGTAGTTACGGATAAAAAAAGCGAAAAACAAATAATATAATAAAGTTCACTAGACTATTTTAATCATTAGAAATATTTGACATAGTCTAAAATAAATAAAACTAAAAATAAATAGAAGCAGTGTCAATTCTTTAAATTAAACTTACAATAACCAGGAGTATTTCTACTAAGATAAAGAAAGTATATATTATATGATGTTGGCTATATCGAATAGAAGTCATAAATGATTATTCATAAGAAATTCCGGTTTTTTTTTCAAGTGAGCATATCCATTTAGGTCAAACAAAAAAAAGGAAACCATGGTATGCTATAATAACAGTTATTTAACTAGAATTTTTTCTTTTTTTTTTTTAATACTTGACATTAGTATCAATGAAGAAAAAAAATGACTATTTAGGTTAAATAAGAAAAAAAAAGAAATGTATATACTAATATAAGTAAAATGTATGAGTAAATACTTATAAAAAAAAAGAGTAATCTTTCGTCTTTTTATAGATGTATAATTTTGTTCTCTCTGTCTTTTATCGTTAGATGAATAAGATGCAGGTGGGGTGTCTCAAGATCTGATGAGAAAGGTGGGCGATCATCTGACATATACATAGTTAACATTCCATACATGTTCCTTCTTTTTTTCTCTTTCTGCTTATTGTTTTAGATGAGACATACAGAGAAAAAGAAACATAAATATTCGCGGTCGATTCATCGTTATCTAAGACTAGTAATAACAGTAAAAACAACAATCACAACAACAACAATAAAGATTGACAACACATCATCATCCATCATCTCAGCATGAATTGATGGTGACGACTAAAAGAAACTAAAAAAATATTTAAAAAGAATACCAAGCAGAGAGGTCGACACATGATTTAGAGTAAATGATGTAGCTGCTTACATGCATTTACGAAACCTCTTATTTTTCTTGTTGTTGTTATTGTTATTGTTATTGATTTAACCAAGATATCTTGAAATTTAATGATTCTATGTAATACTAACTAGCTGTCGATGTCGTCAATAATAATGATGTGTGATTAAGAGGGGCAAACGCTTGTCGTTATATGTGTGAGAGACACTTATTGTTTTTTTTATTCATGTTACCAAGAAAGAAATGCAGACAAGGCAACGAATGATGCTGCAGCCGAAATAAGAAAAAACGACAGCATGGTAAAGACATTAACATCAAGGGGCAACGCTCGATTGCAAAAAAAAAAGAAGAAACAACAAAAAAGAAAAAACAGTCAAGTTATGTACACAGGTGTTATTGTAAACAGGCAAATACTTGATTTATAAATAGAAATCATTATCGACGAAACTTTGCCTTCAAGAAGTGCTCACAAAACGATATGTTCGTCTGATTTTATTTCTATTTGTCTATTCATGTAAGGTCATACAAAGAGATTGAACATAAAAAAATAGTGTCTCACACTTAAAAAAGACTTTGATTAATGAAAACTTACGTTTAATTAAATAAAAGAATAAGTCCGATCGAAATACATATGCAAGCAAATATCAGTGTCGCAGTTTTGACTTAATATGGTGTCATAAAAGCAATGGAAGAAAGAAAAAAAAAAGACAACGATGACTGTAATTTCATAGTTAAGACTTATCAGTTTTGATCAATAAAAAAAAAAAAAGAAAGAAAAGGACTAGTAGAATGTCTAGTCGTTGTCAAAAAAAATAATAAATAATAACATAACTATAGTGCCGACCATGAAAAACAACAGGGGAGTCATAAAATATGAATGGCATGAATGTTTGCATTCTCTCTCTCTCTCTCTCTCTCTACGAAATATTTGTCACTTTTTTTTTTTCTGTTGAATACTCGATCTTTGAGATCACTTGTTGCGTATTTTATTTCCAGAGTATATTTGAAAATGAAAGAAAAATCTTGAAATTTGATCAGACTTAGATCAGATTTACATTTATTCTCGTCAAATAAGCGTCTCTCCTTTTTTTTTTCTTACGTTTTCATTAAACTAAACATACTACTCGTTTTACTTATGCACAAAAATGACTATGTGTTATAAACAAAAAACAATAATAATAAATATTGAAATAAACATGAGGAATGTTTTTCTTTTGTCTGTAGCAACAATGATTGCGAGAATACTTTGAAGAATTCAAAGATTCTCTCACCCATTGTAGCTTTTCTATTTTACTTTACTTCCCGTCGACGACTATTTCTATTACGGATAATAATATCAAATTAGAAACAGTGCTTTTGGGAAGATTCGAACAAGGACATAGTCAATGAATAGAACAGTTCGACTAGAAATTTTTTTTAACAACGAATCCATATTCAAGGTTTTTGTTCTATTTGTTCCTACGTATGTTACACATACATACATCATCCATTAGAATCAACGAACAACAGTTGATGCGAAGGTGAAGTGTTACTATTTCACTTACCCATCTTACAACAAATCAATTTCTTTCGTTTTTTTTTTTTAAATATAATGATGTGCTGGTGAAAAAAACATACAAGAGATAAATAGACTATTTAAGTTTCTTTCTTTTTTGTACTTCAAAACAAGGTTTTCATAACGTCATAATTTGTTTTTCGTCTCGTTCGATAATATCTGTAGATAGGGAGTGTGCGCGTGCTTATTTGTCTATTTCTATTTTTTTTTTTTTTATCGAACATGAAGGGTAGGGACGTGTTATGCTGCTAAGAGAGTGAGACAAATTATATTATTTTGTATTATACATGAAAAAAAGAAAGATCAAAGTTTGAAGTATTTAGTACTCACCTTTAAGTTCTATTAAATGAATACAGAACTCTTAAATGTAAAGCGTTTTTAAGGCAACAGCTGTATGTAATCATTAGCGCTCTTATCTTTTACATATATATATGTATACGTCTATATTCTACTCCAATAAAAAAAAATAACAAACACTGATAGCTAATGTAATCGTCTTGCTCAAGTACACATAATACCCTATTATTTTTTTTCCTTTACACTGTGCATATAGCTACCTCATACATCAATATACGAAACATGTTGTGTCTCATATATATAACACTCGTTGTCGACTGTAAAAAACTATCACTAATGGCGATACCGACAAGACCATGATTTTTAATGATAATCGACGTAATAATGTTATTGAAAGACACATACTGTAAAATATGATTCATTAAAGAAAAAGATAGAGATGTCAAAGTCAACATGCTTCTTTTTTCATAGATATGGTACTTTCCACCCACAGAACAGATGTGTATTAACTAATAGAATAGAAAAATCAAGAATTCGGATAGAAAACAAACGGATTTAATGTATATTTTTCAGAATGATGTTTTGATATGTTTTATACACCAGACATAATCATAAGGAGGAAAAAAACATCATAATGTAATAAACATTCTTAAAATGTTTTTTACTATGACAAGAATTCTGTATAATAATCATAAAACAAAATAGATAAAAGAACTAAATTTTTAAATTTCGAATTATATTTGTTTTTCATTTTCAAAAAAATATAATATAATAAAATAAAATAAACGGATTGTTTTTCATACTTCATTTTGAATCAATAGCAAATTTGTAAGCGAATCTACATTTGCAAGTATTTGATATTGTGTTGATTGTTTTCAAATAAATGCACTTTTATAACTCAAGGACATCCGTCATCCCCTTAAGGGCAAATTGTCTAATCAATCAAATCCTTTTTAGTAAAAGTTACCTTTCATATATATATATATATATAAAAACAAATCGATTCATTGCTCGTTTACCGATCATTATTTTCAATTATGAGAAGGCAAAATATCTTTATAAATAATATTGGTTAGATTAATTTTCGATGTTTATATATATATATCTAATAATGAAGCATAGATTCATAACCTTGATTCATCTATTTGAACAAAACTACTTCCGACCCAATTACATTATGTTCACTTGAAGATGATGTATTTTTCGAATTCTTATCCTCATTCGACCTTTCATCACTATTTTCTTCGTATCTCTCATTATCAGTTGATTCATCTTTATTTACCTTGAATTTCATTCTTATCATCGGACATATCTTTATGTTGCTCTGATCCTTTATCATTAATCGATTTATCTTCTATTTTATTAGGTTGTTCATCATATACTACTGATTTAGATTTTTCATTATCAATTGATTGATTTATTTTTCTTTATT